CATGGATCGAAGAACTTGAATAACTTTCAAGCACCTCGCTCTAATGTCAATTGTTAGAAAAGTAGTTTAAGATCAAGAGGGAGGGGGGGTGAATTGATCTTTGAAAGTTTTTCGCAAATAACAGATTATCTATTTGTAAAAATAAGATTTCAGATCTGTTCTTGAATCACAAAGCAAGCAATAAAAAATAAACGCAGCAGCAGAATTAAAATAGGAGAAAGGTTTAGAAATATATCACCGGTGTTTATACTGGTTCACCCAATACCAGGGCTACGTCTAGTCTCCAGCCAAATTCCAGCTGGGTTCCACTAGATCAAATATTTTACAGATTACAATCTTACACTTAATCTACCACAAGAACCACAATTCCAGTTCCTGCACCTAACCTTTCACCAAGAACCAAATTCCAGTTCTTGACAACCTCTACAACCAAATTCCAGCTGCAGAGAAACCAGTGCCCACAATTCCAGGCACCAAACAATACAAAAAGAATGTAAAGAAATGAAAAGAAGAAACTAGAATGCTCAAACCAGTTTTATGCAATTCTGCAGTGTGTTTCTTCTTCAAAAGAAAGCAATTTGCCTCAAGAAAGAATTTCAAAGAACTTCACTAAAACTGGCGCGAATCTTTCTTGAAAGTGTGCTAAAGTTTGCTTGCTTGATTGCTAAAGATTGATATTCAATTGTTGTGTTTAAAATGTTCAAGTCAAACTGTTTTTATAGAAGATTTTCAAAACTGATGGTTTAATCAATCTGTTAAAAGATTCTTTTAATCTGTTAAAAGTGTAGTTTTAATCTGTTAAAACTTCTTTTAATCCATTAATACGTTCTTGATTCTTTAACAGATTTGTTTTAACTGATACGACAACGTTTATATCAATTAAAACTCTTTACAAAAAATCTTCTAATTTGATTTAATCGATTGTTTCGCGATTCAATCGATTAATATACTGCAAAACTTTCTTGTAAAACTTTCCAAGTTATTTTAACTGATAAAAATAAGTTTTAATCGATTAAAACGCTGTGTAGAAATTTTCTAAGTTGTTTTAATCGATTGAAACGTGTTTTAATCGATTGAAAAATCTCTGATCGGTCATAACTCAATTCTGATCGATCATATCTGATTCTGATCGGTCATAACTCAATTCTGATCGATCATATCTGATTCTGATTGGTCATAATTGCATTCTGATCGATCATCCTGAATGTTAAGTGGATTTAATCGATTAAAACCAAGTTGTATCGATTAAAATACTGCAAAAACACTTCTCTGAACATTCTAAGTGATTTTAATCGGTTATTTCAAAACTGTATCAGTTAAAAACTTGTTTAAGAAAGTTTTTGTCAAAATACTTTGTTTTTAACTTGTTTAAACGATTTTAGAGGCATTTTGCAAAATCTTTTAAGTGAAGAAACCTCATGCAGCAGAAAAGATAAAAATGATTATACCTAAGCATAGCAGCGGACACACTAATCTCTCTACTCTTTTATCTAAGTGACTGTTGACCGCTACAAAGTTGACTTTGACTTTATCTTTGACTTCATCAAATCAACAGGATCTTTGTCAGAATATTTCAATAAGATCTTCATCACTTACAGAGCTATGGTTGGTGTTGAACTTAATTCAAAGCAATTGTAAGAAACTCTAGATTTTAGAGAGATAACAAACTTGTTGCTAATAGTAATAAATGTTTTAAATATCATATCCTCTTCTTGAAACACTTCACACTTATTTTCTTTCATTTCAATCCTTTTTCCAAAAATTAACTCCCTCTAAATAAATTATTTTTAACTCAAGAACATAAAATACATCTGTAACCACGTGCATAACTTTATTAATTAGCAATTTAACCGTGCTTTTCCCTATCACCTTTAAAGCATAGTTATTCCCAATTTCACTTCATTAGAAAAAACATAATCCATAGAAGAAAACCAGTCTTTTCTACCTGTCATGTGATTGTTACAGTCTGAATCAATGAACCACATATAATTTGTTCTGTTATCCCAAGACTTCTTTGGACATTCATATTGGAAGTGTTTGAGGCTTCTTTGAACATTCATATTGGAAGTGTCCAAACTTATGGCAGTAGTATCACTCTATTGTTGTCTTATTCATAAATTGTCTACTTTTTTCCCTCTTCCTCTTCTTATATATGCTCCTTGAAAAACACTTTTTCCTGTCCATTGTTAACATTTGTCTCCTCCAAACCTTCAATACTTCTCTTCATGAGAATTGTGCCCATTCATTTTTTCTCATGCACTAATAAACTATTTGGAGTTCATCTATATAGTCATGCAATCTATCATGAGATTCCTCAATGCAACATACTACATAATCGTACCTTAAAGTTATTGAACCAATTTTTTTTTCCAATAACAATAAGTTCAGATACAAACTCACCTTGCATTCTCATCTTGTTTGCAATTATGAGAGTCCGAGCAAAGTAATCATTAATTGATTATCCATTATTCATCTGCAGAATCTCTCATTCGCGTCGTGGAGCTTGTAGTTGAGCTCGTTTCACCTCACAGTGCCTTGATATTTTTGTTTGAATAAATCCCAAATCCCCTTTGACGTTGTCTTCTTTAAGATTGTTAAGCACGGTTCTATCAATAGTTTGAAACAAATAGTTTTTCACCTTCAAATCTTTAATTTCAACTCCTCCAGACATTTTTCCTCATTATCTGATAAAACAACCCCATCTGCATGTTATGAAATTCGAGGAATTATAAGATTCGAGTACTCTTTTAACCGTCAGAAGTTCTCCATTAGCAATGTCCAATAGTCATAATGCTCATTCAACTTCGAAATTGCAGGTTACACGAAATTACTGTCGTGTTGACCATGATAGAAGTTTGCAGCTTCTTTTCAATACACTACAAAAAATATTGAAATTACAGACAGTCAAAATTCGTCGGTAAATAGATATTACCGACGGAATTCCCACGACCAAAAATTGGATTGTCGGTATGAGTTAGAGGTACTTATACTTCAACCACTAAACTACTTTACAAATAAATTATATTTATATATTTATATATTTATATATTTATATATTTATATATTTATATATTTATATATTTATATATTTATATATTTATATATTTATATATTTATATTTTAAATTATTTAATTTAATAAATTATTATAAATTAATCTAATTATAATTAAATTATTAAATAAAAAAATATTTAATTTTTAATTAGGTGAATAATTAATTTATTAGAATATATTAAATAATTATTATATAATTTTACAGACGGATATATCCGGTCGGTAATTATTTGTCAATTTATCGATGGATTTACCAGACAGAAATATTCATCGGTAAATAATTATTAATTTACCGACGGATATATCCATCGGTAATTAATTGTTAATTTATCAACAGATTTACCAACGGATATATACGTCGGTAATTAATTATTAATTTACCGACGGATTCTACCGACGGATATATCCGTCGGTAACTAATTATTATTTTACCGACGAGATATATCCGTAGATAAAACCAAATTTTATATCCGTCGGTAATTTCCATCGGTAATAACTCATTTTCCAACGGTCACAAATCCATCGATAAAAATCGATCGAAATTTACGATTTTCTTGTAGTGGTAGAAGTTGAAACTGACTCGATAATAATTGTTATTTCAAAAAATTTGTTATTTTTTTTATATAAAATAAAGAAGCTAAATGTATAGATTTAGCTTTACAAAAACTAGAAAATAAAAAAATAATTTGCACATACTTACCAAAGTAATATCCATGTAATGAGAGCTTGCAAACCACTTATAAAATTTAAATTGCAACAAACAAATAAAACTTTATTTGTGTGTGTTACTTATTTAGTTAAAAGTTCTCGTGAGCATGATTTAGTGTACAAGTTTTGGATATCTTCCATAAAATCATTTTCTGACACACTTTTATGTTTGTATGTAAATTTTGTTGAAAAATTGCATTTTTATTTGCATATACTCTAATTCTTGCTGGGAACAGGGGTCTTGTAGTTTGGTTCTTTATTTTCTGATTTGCCATATATTTGTTTGGTAGTTTATAATTTCTCAATTTATGTTATAAGCTTAAATTTTATATAATTTATTATGTATATAGGAAATATTATAAAATATGTTTGACAGTTGAATATTTTTGGAAAAGAAATAAAAATAATGTACCTTTCATAATTTATATATAAAATCCTATCCTTTTTCTCTTCCCCTTTCCCAACTCGCAACTGTTTCAGACTACTTTCTGAAAAAAAAAAATCAAACAATGTTTAGATTAATATTTATCAAAAAAGAAAAAGAAAATGAAAAGTACTTAAACAACCACATTTAAAAATGAAAAAATTATTAATATAATTTTATTTTATTTTTCATCATAATTTCTTACATTATTCTTTCGTTGACACTTATCACCACATTAAATCCACACCCTCAATTCTTCATAAACAGCAAAACCACGATTCAAGGCTTAAAGTTTCATCCTTGCAAAAATGATTTCACCTTATGTTATCCCAATGTCTGATGATTGGAAGCGTTCAAATTCAAGTATTCAGATCAGGTTCAAATTGGGCTACGAAAAAGATCCTTCAAGTTCAATTAGGCAACTGAAAACTGCAGAAAGCAACTTACATAACATGTGAAAAAGTTGTATATATTACCACAGAGCTTAAAAACAGCTTAAAGAAGTAAAGGCAGGGACATTGCCAAGACAGAAGGCATGAATTATGAATCCAGGACTTTGCTCTTGAATAAAATTTTGGATAAAAAGGAGAAAAAGCGGAACAACTATCTTAGCTCCAGACATCAAGGGGAGCAGTTTTGAGTACGGGAACTAGAACAGAATTCCAGAATTTTTCGGAACTGAAAGAACACCACCAAAGGACAACTGATATTAACATCTATAAACCTATATCTTTTAGTTGAGAAGCCCATTAAATAATATATTTAAATTTTTGTCCAGATTTTGTTGTATCCATCAAACATTGAGCTGTGCATATCATAGCCCCCTCCTGGTTCTAGGAGGAGTACCGGGAGCAAGGCGAGAGTTTTGGACTGTGTGTGTGTTGGGATCATATTTTTGTGAAGCAAGGTAAGACAAAGCTGTCACAACATCAGCTATAACTGGACGCAAGTTAGCCTGCTCCTGAACACACATTGCTGCAACAGCAAGGGCCTGGTACAGTCCTCTTGGAGGATATTGACCTTGGAGTGTTGGATCAGCCATTTGTGAAAACTTTCTTCGATCCCTAAACAAGGGTCTAGCCTGCAGTTAAATCAGAATAGTCCATCCAAAGTTACTACTCAAATAATTAAGGAGGAAGGACCAAAACATGTTATGAAATATTCCAATTTCACCCCTATGGAGATGTGCAAAAGCCAGTTAAAGAGTATCTGAGATATACAACATAAAAGTTCACACAACTTCTAAAACAAAAATCATCTTAAAGGGACTTTCCTTTTACAAAGACAAATTTTCTCTCAAAGCATTCTTCCTTAATCATACACCACGTTTAGTTATTTTTATTAAGAGGTAAGTATAAACTAATGGACTGTGAATAGGTTTAGTTATTTTTATTAAGAGGTAAATGTAAACTAATGGAATGTGAAAAGGGAATATGGATTGTAACCCGTGACTCAAAGGTTCAAGTTGGGTTCAAATTTTTTCATTTCTATGGATAATGGGTTAAAAATAAATATGACTCAATTAATTAACCCATAGATTAAACGGGTTCGAACCAGGTTATGATAAAATGATGTTGAGTCCTTCGAGGAGATTCAAAGGGGAGAACAATATTAATAAGACATGAGTTCAACCCACATAAGGTATTGACTTCACTCTCAACACAAAACTTTAAGACATTGGGTTATGGATCATACTTCCTTATATGATACTCAACTTTCTTATTTTTACTCAATGTGGGACATGGTACATTCGCTTGAGCTCAATAATGGTATTTTCATATAACGTCGTTCATCCTAACGGGACACGTTTATCTTACCCACTGTTAGGACGACTTTCGATACAAAATGAATTAGGTTAAACTCGTCTATTTTCAGCTCAGCTCGTGATGAGCCAACCCGTTGACATCCCTAACTATGAAGGATTTTTAACCACAAATTCTCAAGCTTAATTACAATTATGCAAGATGACTGATTCATAAGAAACAAAATGCCTCCTCGTACTTTTATGTACATTGCCTACTTTTAAGTTGAACCATTTATCTTGCAAATGAAAATATACTTAAATATGTTTATGTCACCCAACCAAAAGCTTTTTCAATCATAGTTTGGTCAAATGCTTGGTGTAAGAATAATTCATATTTTGGTGTGCTGCTTATAAATGATCAACCAACCCTAGGAGATGAGATAACTGTAGGAGTGTCTTACCCATGCAACAAGATTCTGCTCTCCTGCCGATTTTGAATTGTCAATTGCTTTTCTTCCGGTAATTATTTCTAGAAGAACTACACCAAAGCTATAAACATCTGATTTCAGAGTCAGTTGACCAGTCATGGCATACTCTGGAGCACAATATCCATAAGTGCCCATAACTCTTGTTGATACATGTGTGTTTTCCCCAACTGGGCCAAGCTTAGCCAAACCAAAATCAGATAACTTTGGGTGATACCCTTCACCAAGCAAAATGTTAGAGCACTTCAAATCGCGGTAGATGACAGGAGGGTTAGCTTTGTCATGTAGATATTCCAATCCTTTTGCTGCACCAGCAGCTATTCTCATTCGTGTGTTCCACTCTAGTCGTTTCTTGCCAAGAGGAATGTCTGTAAATCAAATATATATAATCAATAACAAGAAGATGATAATAAGAACGGGGAAACAACATGCATAGATGGAATACAAATACCGTGCAAGTGGTCTTCCAAGGATCCTAACGGCATGTATTCATAAACTAGAAGCCTTTGATCTCCATCAGCACAATAACCAAGAAGGTTGACAAGGTTAGGATGATGAAGCAGACTTAACATCAACACTTCAACAAGGAATTCCCTATTTCCTTGCAGTCCATTTCGGTCAAGTTGCTTAATCGCGACAATCTATATTCAACACAAGAAAGGATGAAACTTGTTAAAAACTGCTTCACAAAATTTATGCAGGGTTTCATGTCAGCAAAACTTAATCTATTGTCCTGGCTGTTAGATGATATCAATGAGGAAAAGGAGAAACGATGAATAACAAAAGAAAAGGAAGAACCACTCCAATTCTCAGCACCTCTCTCCTATTTTTCATGAACAAATGGAAAACAGATTCACCTGATTAATACTCTCCAGACGCCCTTTGTATACTCTACCAAAGCCTCCCTCTCCCAAAAGACATTCAGCTCTAAAATTTCTGGTTGCAGTTGCCAACTCACGGAATGAGAATGTCTGTGCTGCAATGTGATCAGGGTTCCCATTTTTAGATGTATCTTTGGAATTTGTGGATGAATTCCTCTTCAACTTTCCTACACTCAATTGACAAGAAATATATTTAAGGGGAGAAGCACGAGCTTCGGCAGGGTTGTATTTGACTTAAAAAAAACCATCATAAAGCAATCTCATGGAATCACAATCTGATTCTGCATGCATTATGCATCATTTCAAATTTACCATCAATAGTATAAATTCAAGTTTGGTATATACACTGTAACTGATGAAATCACCAAACTGAAAGAAAAAAAGTATTGTTCAAATATTATAGATTGAAACTTGAATGCTATAGCACACCATCAAGAAAATGATTCCAAGATAGTAGGAAAAGAAAATGCTTACATAAATTCTACAAATCCAACACCAAATCATACTGGCATGAAATATTTTGTATGCAGGTTCCACCCCTCCCACTCTCAAAATCATTTGTTTTGCAAAAAATAAAAAGATTGCAGTCATTACCCACATCAAATCCCAGCTACCTATATTTATAGACTCTAAACACCCAGAACACCAATAGGATGAACCTAATACACAAGACTCGCTCAAGTTTTCTTTTTGATAACCCCAAGTAAAACAAGAGATAATTTGTGCAAGAAACAAGTGTATAACCCCAGCAACTACCTTAATTAAGTGAAAGAACAATTGTCCCCAAGAGGGTCTCACTATCATAATTCAATTGGACTCTCCGTTTTTTCAATATATAAAAGAAAAACTACCTGGGGTGGCTTTGATCTGACCAACGAGACTGTCCTGAACCTCCATCTTCTCAATCTTGTTCTTAGTGCCTGAATAACCAGAACAGGGAATCCAACCCATGTTTGTTTCCTCTTCAATGGCCGCAGCACAGTGATCAGAAAGAAAATAAACTACAAATCACTCTCTCAGGACCCGACCCGGATACACTGTTCTCGGGCAGCCAACTCCAACAAAAACAACTTAGAAAACAGCCTCTGTTCTTTCTCTCTCTATGTTTACTTTTATCATGTGTCTGTGTCTCCTGTTCTATATTTTCAGTTTTTATATTTCCCTAGTGTTTTAGTTTGAGATCATTAATTTATTCATTGCCTTCTCTTTTGGTCGGAAAAACACCATGATTGGTTCAAATGCGCCTCACTGGATCACCTCCAAAACCAACTCCAAACTAATCTCATATAAAAAATTATATATATTTCCCTGTTTTGTCTAAACATAAAATAATTGCTTTGATATTAAGTTAATTTCTGTCATAGCATGTCATGCTTGCCACTCCTATTTGTCCTCCACACACTGCTTAAGATCCACAGCAAGAATCTACAAAATTAGATGCTTTGTGCTTTTATTGTAACAATTCCTACTTACCATTTCAATGAAAAAGCAATAATGTCCATTTAATTTGTACATGTGATGCAGTTTAAGTCTAACTCAATCATCATAGTTTTGGCCGCCCTCACAGTTCAATTTTTGGCACACAACTGAACAAGTGCTTACAGCTGTACCTTAATTAAAGACATTCCTATAATTATTACAATATAGGGTTCATGCAACCAGCTAAATTTACTTCTATCTTTTCTTTCATTCTATCCCTTTCGGTCAATAATGAAAGTAAGTCATTGGAGAGAAAGATTTTTTTTTTTTTTTTCCTTTTTGAAAAAAGTATTCAAAAGGAAAAATTAAAAGACTAGGCCAGGCCAAACCTGGATTGTTCTTTTTGTCATGTCACATTGTTTTTGTTCATTATTCCAGTATTTGTATGACTACCATCTTTTTCTTTTCTTTTTTTTTCTTCTACTTTCATTCCTCTTGTTTCGCATTCATTTCATTCACGGAAAAAGAGAGTGGAGAGTTACTATCATATTTAATTTCCTTGAAGAAAACAATGAAAATATGGATAGAGACTTGGTGCCTAAAATATGTATTACCCAGATACAGCTGGTAGGAAACCTCTCTTTGAAAGTGCCATCTGATTTTGCAATGCAATACAATGTTTCCTTCTCTCCCTCTCTTCAATAAAAATTTAATTAATAGCATATATTTTTATTTTTATAACTTGTAAATTTAATTTTATAAACATAATATTGAATCCATAGTTCATTATAAGTTATGCATAAATTAATTTCATATTTTTAAATTTTTATAAAAAATGGATCTACAAGTGGACCCATACATAAATACAAAATTAAATACCAAGATTACATATACACAAGAATTTTTGTTTTTGTTGATCGTTGAGGAAAATTTTATTATATATGACCAGTCAAAACATGGTATATTAGTTTATTTAAAAAAAAATATTCTATTTTATTCTACTGTATATGTGTAATTTTTAATTTTATGTTTTTTTATCCTATACACGTGTTTCTCTTCATTTTATCACATTTTTTCTTTTTTTTTTAAATACATAATGTTTTAATAATTATTATTTTTATATTTACTACATCACATTTTTTTCTTTCTTTTTTAAATGTATAACATTTTAATAATTATTTTTTATATAATATTATAAATAATATAATTTTATTAAAAAATGAATACAAGAAAAAATCTTCTTTATATAATAATATAAATAATAAGATAAAATATATAAATTAATTTTTTATCTTTTATTTTTTTAAAATATATTACGGAAAGTGATGTCATATATATATATATATATATATATATATAATTTAAAAAGTTTTAATAACTAAAATTGAAGTGATGAATGAAAATTAGAATAACAATTTAGAGTAGTAAATTTATTTAAAATAAAATTGAGTTGAATTAAATAAATTATAACACAAATAGTAAATAAAAATAAGAGTGGTCTATGTCAATAAATAATCTATGTATCCTTCATTAATAATTAACTAAACTGTAATAAATTATTAAAAAAAAATTATGATGATTTATTTTTTAATATTTCTATAGTTAATTCTGCATTTTTTTCATCCATTGTCTGCGTGCAATTAGAGTAAATGAGAGTAAAAAAGTAAACATTATTTTGAACCAATCTCATTTGTTAATGCAGGCTCAACTTAAACAAACTATGATGTCTTATATACCTAGCTTTACTAATAACAACCAATACTATACATTATTAATTATTGGACAGATTTAATTGTAATAATAACTTCTAAAAAAATAATTTATATACAAGTTAAAAAATGGAACACTTTTTTTGTGTTTATGAAAATGTATCAAAACCTTTCCATCTAAACTTCATAATATTATATGTCAAAAATATTGTGAAAGATTTTGCATGCAGATGAAATCAATTTTATCAAAAAAAAAAAAACAGAAGTGCTTACAGAAAAAAAAATTATATTATAGAAAAGCTTAAAATGGTGTATAGGCCTCAATGCCAACACTAAAAACATTAAAGTTTTGTAGCATTAGTTATATTAACTTAACATGACACTTCTATAATATATGTGTATATGACTTGGTAGTTTTTTTCTTCTTTTTTACAGGATGCTAAATAAACAACAAGTGCATATAACTGATGGCAATTAATGATAAATTATTGCTCATTCAAAACTGATAAAATAAAAGTATTACTAGAATATTTCATATTTCATACAAATTTTCTTAAGCATTTTTATATAAACTGAGTTTTTCCGTATATTTTCGTGTGAATTTTACAGAAAAAAATTTCAAAAAATAAGAAAATTCCAGTAGTAAAACTAAATAAGTAAAGAAAAAAAAAACATCTCCATAGCTAATACTGTATAAAGGTGTTTTGGATTTACAATAAAAATGATTAGCATATATGGTACTTGTTTCAGATTAAAATTATCAGTATATATATATAGCGATGGATAGAGGATAGTATATAGCCATTTGGCAAAGATAGCAATGGAAAGATATTGAAGGGGAGTGCCAGTGTCCCCAGATTCCATATATAATACAAATAACCAGCACCAATAAGGTTATATATATTATATCTTTGCATTTAAAATTGTCAATATCTTGCTCTTTCTCATCAACTTCAATTATTCTGAGCATACTTTAGGATATATAAGTAATGGATCTTCTCAATTATTTCTGATTCCTGTGGCAGTGCCATAGAGTCATAATTGTTAACTGATCGAAGTCTCCATCAATCATGATTTATCTTTACTAAGAGAAGCCTGTGAATCTCTTTCAGAGGCCACATTTCCTGTGTTCTTGAGAGGCATCTCATGATTGTGTTTTCCCTCATATGTTGTCACAAATGATCTTGGGTCATCTATTGCTCTCTCCACGTGCTTCCGAACGTTGCACTTAATATTAGTACATCTATAGTAACTTCTGCAACACAAGTTTAGTTCATTCTGTAAATAACCAGTAGTTATTTGAACACAATTCAGTATTCATTAGCAATCTTAAAGCAAATTATTTGAAATAGTTACTTCGATTAGAACATAGCAACTTTACAGAGAAATAGGAAACAAGTATAAACCTGGGATATGGATTGCCCTTCACCACCTTCTGTCCATATTTCCTCCAGCGAAAACCATCTCCAAGTATCTCAGAATCCGTGAAACTTTGCATCACAATCCGCGACTCTACTAAACCCTCCTCTGATAATGCTACTTCATTAGATTGATTCTCATTTTTCCTGAACAATGAGAATCATTCAGTGTAAATTACCTTCTAACTAATAGTGGTTAATGATGAGGTAGTTAACTAAAAAATATAAATTACACTAACGTGTTGCCGGATGAACAGTTACTATTTTTGGACAGGATGCATAAGATGTATGACATGAATCATGCACCCCAAAATCTTAGGAACTTAAGCCGCGAAGTAAATGCATACAAATGTTTTTTTTTTATAGAATCACATGTTTTTGAATTTTGAGAACAAAACAAGAACTAAAGCTTTATCCTGTTAAAATTTTACACTATCATTTTTCATGTTACATCTCAAATGATTCATTGCACACACTCACTTATTAGGTTCTGAAATGGTCAAGTAACTACCTATCATGTGCCGGAATTCTCATCTAACTGGTTCTTAACCTACCATTTATCTGACATGGATGAATGACAATTTCAGGAAAAAAAAAATAACCTTCTTTTACTTCTGGGTTCATCTTCCTGTGCCTCAAACCCCTTGCTTCCTTCCTCACATTCACCACTTAGACCACACGAGTTTTCCGTGCTTCCTCCACCAGCATTAGTTGCACCAATATTTAGAACAGAATCATTAGGCTGTGGAACTTTGACATAATAATCTGAAAGCACAGATAGTCCTCCTGTGTTCTCAACTCTACTTTCATTGCCCTCATTCCTCTCACTGTGACTATTACTCCACATATCTTGAACCATTCCATCAGACATCACCCCCGAACCTTGTGTTCCTGTTGCTGTGTTTCGTTTAGGAAGCTGTGGCTTGGAATGGTTGTGTTCACCTTTATAAACAATTTCTGCAATCTGCCCATCAAATGATCTTTCAACCTTCTTCTTCACTGGACAATTAGGATGTGTGCACTTGTAATAACTTCGCGGGTACTCACTCCCTTTTACTTGCTTCTGACCATATTTCCTCCAATTGTACCCATCATAAGATGGGCGATCACAATTCGCTGAGGATGTTAAAGTCTTTTGGTCATCCTCTGTGTTCTGCTGCACCATCTTACTAGGTTCACTGATCTGATTTATTTCTGCATGCGGGGCAATACTCTGATCAAGATGTGAACTCATGTTGGTTCTAAATTTTTCATGGATGGAATGTTGAAAATTGCCCTCCATTAATTGCCGTGTTGGCTGCTGACCAGTGCTGCAATTTCCCTTCTCCAAAATAAGAGAGAGAATGTCAAAACCATATGTAAATATTAATCATCAAAATTAAAGGTTAAAAATAAAGTACACAGGTCATATAACTTTTTCAAGAATACTGACTGTAAAACTTCAAATTAATATGTCATGTATATTACTAACCATATTTGCCAAAAGAGATACGGTTGTCTTCGACACGAGTTTTGCCGTTGGCTTGTATATGAGGGACTGATTGGTGTCAAGTTTAGGACTTTTGTCAGAAGAGTTACAAAGTGCAGCTCCAAAAGTATCAGCCTGAAATTGTAATAAAACACCATTATGTTGGAAATGAAGAAGCTAGGAAGAAGAGATTTTGTCCAAGTGAAACAAAAGTTCACCTGAGAAGAATCCAACCCAGCAGGGGGGCGATTCAATGCTGCTGGCTTGAACCTCACAGTCTTGGGTCTAATGGCAGAAACTGTAGTTTGAGAAGATGCAATAACAGGAGAAGCATTGATTGCACCCGCTAGGAGCTCTGAGAAAGATTTGAAAGTAGAACAAGTAGGCCTTGAAGCAACAGGCTTGGCAATCACCACCCTTTCTGCTTCCTTAATATCCATCTTCAAATATGTCTCTTCTGCAAAGTGTGTTCACTTTACGTGTGTTTCTGTTTGCAAGAAAAACAAAACCATCACCCTTGTTTGTCTTCACTTTCAGCAATTTTCTAACGGTGTCTTCAGTTGACCCAAGATAAACTTACCTGGCAGATATGATTAATCAACGTCATTACATCTTACAAACTACAAAGGCTTAATCACGGTTCCTAATCGAAAAGAAATTTTGTATGAAAATGATTAGTCTCGCAAACGTGCACGATATAGTCCATATTTGAGGGAAATATATGATATAATATACCATACCAATTTGCAATTGCGATAAGATGTGATAGTAGAAAAGGGAAAAGTTGAAGACTATAGATAAAAAAGCTGTTAGAACAGTGACAATGGGTTCCACCAAGAAAAGAAAAGAAAAAGTATTATTCAGACGAATGCAGACAAAGTTTCGTCACATTGGACCACGTTCTTCTGTATTCGTCACGGGAAATCCCATGCATTCATAATTAATTGTACTCAGTCAGTGAAAACCATGGGTTAATTGTTTTATGCATTGTGATACACAGTTATGGACATATTATGTAAGCTGCTTCTGCTGTCACTGTATATCATCAGTATAATCTGCAGAAAAATTCACGAGAAATATAAATTTTTTAACAGTAAATTTATTAATATTTATGATTTTTCTCTTTCATCAACATCTATATTTCCTCATCTTTCACTTTTCCTTCTTCAATATTATCTGGGTTTGATGTTCACCTCTCTTGCCTTTTTCTACATCAGAACAGCACACGCAAAATGATATTTTGGGAGAAAAAAAAGATAAATTTTGGGATAAAACAGTAGTAAAACTCATTCATTAACAGATACAATATTACTTTGAACATTTCTTAGTTAAAATTTTGAAGGTATTGAAGTTGTACAAGTCTTATTTGTTATTGAACGTGGCCATTTCTATTATAAATATTTGGATTTTTGTTTGTGACCCCAGGAGTGGTTTTGAAGTGACCAAAAGCGCCAAACTTCAAATTGATGCCCTGCTAGAAAAATTGAAGTCTCAAAAACATGAAACCTGTCACTTCACTTATTTGTCTGGTCGTTGTCGGTGATTAATCTCCGTTGAATCTTTCGAAACTCACAAAAACTCAAATATTCATAGGCTTTGTTTATATGACATATCCATGTCTAATGTGTACCCAGAAAAATCTACTACTAGGATTATACCTGTCCAATATGTTAAAAGGTTCCCTCTGTTTTTAGTGTGAATTCATAGAGGGGGGAAAACGATATGGCAAAAGAGAAAAGAGAGAGAAGTACAACGGAAGTGGATGTAAGAGAAGTTTATTATAACTTATATGTCATTACATAAAAAAAAAAAATCATAATATTGTTTGTAATTTTATTGAAATGCAACCTATTCTTCTTTTCAACTAATAGTTGAAATAGCTGTGAAGAAACCAATAATTTAAAATAATGATTTTTTACACTGTTGAAACACCAAATCCGATAATTTTTCTATTTTTTTATTTTATCACATTTTGTATTACTTTTATATTTATTTCTTACTTTTATATTTTATTTCTCACATTTTATCACATTTTGTAATATATGTGTAAGTTATTCATGTTATTTTATATACATATATTACAAAATGTGATATTTTATATATATAGAGTGAAAATAACTTATGTATGTATATAAAATATTGTATATATATATTTCTCATATATTCATGTAATATATATATATATTTTGTTCTTCTTTTATATATCATTCAATATTAAATCATTTCACTTTCTATCATATTTTCACTATTTTTTCTCTCTCCTAAGCCAAACACATCCTAGATGTCAACTACAATTTTAGGTGCCTAAAAACATTATTGTTGAATAATTTAAGACCAAATATACATTTAAAACATAAATAAACTAAATTTATTCAAATACATTGGTTGAGTTATATTCCTTTATAGAGGTTTAGAAGAGAAGAGAGAAATTAATTATCGGTAAGAATATTTTGATTTAGTTAAAGAAAAATTAAAACGACTTTCCAGAATGCTGTTTAACTTTGTTTCTTTCATCTTGAATAAAGAGTTAAAGTGACATTTCTTTTGTGTTTAAAGGGGAATTAGGGTGAACAGACATCTAGTAAACGAGAACTTTTCAACTTTTCCTGGACTCCATTTGAGTTTTTAATTCACATCAAAAGTTCAGGCCTGTACAGAAGGAGGATAAAGTATTAAGTGGCACAGAAACACTATCTATTCATAATTTCAATCATTCTTCATATCGATAGTGTTTATTGATTTATTTTTTAATTTATAAAAAATAATAACAATAACTGTATATGATAAATAATAATAATAATAATAATAAAGTTTGTAATTTTGTACTGTCTAATAATTTTTTGTTAAAAATATGTCTTACACAGATTGCAGACATTCCAAAATGAGGTGGTGATGGTGAATGGCAAAACTAAGAAAAAGAAAGGGAAAAAAAATGAAGAGTGATGATTGAATAATATGTGTAAAACATGTAGTCAGAAAGAATTTGTGTAAACAGCCTCATATTTGTGATCTATGAAACCCAAAAAGAGTATGAAAACCAGATCTTATAGAATTTTATATGCTGCGTAGTTATTGTTAGGATTGACTTTTGAAAAGTCCCGAATCATGGTTGATTTGTACCAAGTTTTGCCTAACCATATATTTGAAGATTTCCAAGGGAAAAACAAAGAAGCTTATAGTATCTTCCTTCTTGTCTGCATCTTTTCCTTTTGTTTTGTGTTAAGGAGTGTAGTGCTATCAATAATTCAGAAAACAAAGGAGAAAAGAGTAGAGAACTGACCAGAAAATTAAAGCTGAGAAAGAGCAACATGCTATAAAAGGAAGCAGATTATTTTTGGTGAATTCTTATTTCCAGCTTTATGCATAAAACCTAGTTTATCCTCTCCTGCATAAGGCTCACAACATTAAAATAAGTCCAATAAAAAAAAATTGAAAACATCAGTTCTTAATGAATTGAAGAAGGGTAAACAAAAACACGAAACCTGGGTTTCACAGCCAAGGTTGTCTTCTCTAGATCCAACCAAAGAAACCATGAAAAGAAAAGGACCTTCAAGCAGCTTCTTCTGGGGATCTTCTCAAATCTCAACACTCGACATTGACCTTACTCCAATACATGAATATATTTATATTGTAATGTACATACAAACCAGCAGAGAAGAATAGAGGGAAAGAGAGAGAGAGAGAGAGAGGGAGAAAGAGGAGGGAGTGGTTTTGATTCGAAAATAAAACTCTGAATCTCAGCGATATGTATGATGTATGTATGTAATGTAATGCACCCTTTTCAAAAATTACCCACAGATGCTCTGTGGTTGATTACAGTTAATGATTAAAAGTATCGTAAAGAAAAAATAAAAGTGAGTATAGTTGCATTGCATTTGCATGCCATGTTGTGTTATGTTTATCGGGAAGTATGAATCTTGGGATTGGTGGTTGGCAGTGGAAGCCAACCTCAAATGTTGTACGGACAACTAACTGTCTCAGTGTCCCTCTTTGACCATTCGCTACGTGGGAATTGGTAATAGGTAATAGGTAATAGGTAGCAGGTAATAGGTAAGGTGTGGAGTGAGAAACCAGAAGATGTTTTGTCAAACAAATAGTGTGCATCACGCATGAGATAAGATTCCTTCACCGAGTAGTCCAACACTTCAACTCATACTGTTACAGACACTTTGCGCAAAAGCATCACCATAACTTAGTCACTACGTCAATCCCTATGTTTTTTTTTTTTTTTTCCTTTTTATCTCATTACATTCTATTTATTGGATTCTTTCACACACCACACTGTCTTCCATTGTATAGTAAGTAGTTATATCAAGAAAGAAACACGATTCAAAATATTCAGTATTCATTACATTAGTCATAAAGTGATGTGTTTGGTTCTTTTCACGAAATTTAGACACCAGTTTGAAGGTTATAATGTAAAAGCTCTGATTTTGTAAAGGTTATCGTAAGCTTACAATTTTCAATTGTTGTAAAGATTTCGTAATTTCTGTTGAAAGTTTTCTTTTTTAACCTTTTAAACCTTGGTGGATTGGGAAAGTGTTGATGCTTTACATACTTAGTAATTTGGAAATACTTAATATATTTGGGTTTGTTGATTTCCCTGAAAGGATCGCGTTCTTGCAAGGTTTATAACGACTACAGAGTATGAATATTTGGTTGTCACAAAAGTTTTATTAATAAAAATAGTTTTACAAGAAGAATGCACTATATACAAGGATTTGTTTATTTTTACAATTAATTTATTATTTTTTAGTTTTTAAAAATTACATAATTTGATAGTTATCTTGCTAAAACAGTTTTAAAAAAAATAATTGTTAGTATTTAAAAAAAAATTTGATAAAATGTTTTTTTTTTCGTTTTTAGTTTTTATTTTTAGTATTCACGTCTTTATTTATATGCATTAAGTCTTCATTATCATTAAGTTAATAAAATCATTTTTAATTTTTTTATAATTTTTTATATTATTCTTTTTTAAATATTTTTAAACAATAATATTTTTTTTTCAATTTCTCTTCAAGAATAAATTTTAAAAATTGGTGTAAAAACTTAAAAAAAAAATCAAAAACTTAAATTTTTTACTTGAAATTATGAAGTTTTAATAGCACAATTGTCTTTTATTTTTTAATTAAGAAATGATGTTTTATTACATAGATTATTTTTATTTCTACCCAAAAGAAATTATTAACATGTTCATCAATGATAATAATTTAATTTACTTATTAACATTAATAGAAATGTTATTACGGAAAAAAATTGTTAACATTCTTGTAAGAAATAATTAAATAATATTTATGTGAACTAAATTTATTTAATTTTGGAAATTTAAAGAATTTGATGTGCTATTATAAAACAAAATTAAACCTTTTGTAATAATATTGACCTATAATAAACAGTACCTTACCTGAATTCATTCTTCAATAAACATATTTTATATTTGTTGTTACATTAAAATATTTTTACAAAACAGATACACGATATATATATATATATATATATATATATATATATATATATATATATATATATATATATATATATATATATATATTACAGTAATCTACATAATTTGAAATTATGTAAATAAAATTTAAATATCTAATTGAATCTTTTAACTCAGTATCAACAACATCATAACTTAATCTTAATTAGTAATTAGCTACAATAATATCACACACTTAACTAATAAAGGTTAAAATAGAATGCTCAAAAATTTAAAACTAACAAATACTTCTACTTTTACGTAAACTAGTAACAAACCAAGTCATATTTAAAGGTATAAAAATTATATTTAAACTAATTAAAATAATTTATAAATAATAAAATGAAATTGAATAAAATATGTAATAAAAGAACAATCGAGTCATTTTTAAAAGAAATCAGACCAAAACTTAAAAAATCTTATAACTAAATAACATGTTATTAATTTAAGTCTTTAATTTTTACTTTTTTTTTTAATGAAACAAGACATATTTAATGAAAATCTTGTTGGGTATTTTTTTGAAATAAAAAATATTAAATATGATTTTTCTTTTTTTTTAATACATGTTTACTTATAATTTTTTATCTTAATTGTTCACGTCTTTAATTATAATGATGTAGCATTTGTTACTAACGTGTTTGATAATTTCTCTTAATTATAAATATTATTATATTTTTATTAATAAATAAAATATTATTAATAAATAATAAATGAATATAAAAAAATTAAGAGATAAAAATTATAAATAATAATCTTTACTCATAGGATATAGCAAGTGACATAACAAAAATTATTATAGATATCCGTCTAACAAGAAAAGTGGTTCCTTACAATCACGGGCAATATAATTTCCATTGGTTTCAGCTTTCAAACACAATTACTCCATCGTACATTGTCGGTTTTTTTTTTTTCTTTAATTCATTTTGAAAACATCAGACATTTTACCTTTATCATATTACAATTTTCCAAATGATAAAAAACGACATAATCCAGTAGTGTTTATTTTAAAGAATAAATAAGAAGAGAAGAAACAACTATGTAAGGATGAGTCGAATAAATATTCTTCTTATATAGCATATATGCATGTAGTACACTATTTTTAATGTATCAGAAAAGTTGTTGGAAGAACTTTTTTTTTAATTAAATTTTATAAAAACTTACTCGTATTTATTAAGGTTACAAGAAAAGTACAGTATTTAACCATTTTATAATTTGAGAAGTACATGTTGAAAACAAAAAATGTGCATCTCAAAATAGGTGTTTTTTTATAAGCATTATTATATATATTTTATTTTGTGTAGTCATTTTAAGAGCATAAAATAAATTTGTCTATCATAAATAACACAATAAGAATGACTTAAATAAAAATATAATAAATTTTGTTAGTATTTTAGTATTTATAAACAAAATTGTGTGGAATTGGAATCAAAATTAGGGTTTACACGTAACATAGGGTTTGAGCGTTGGTTGAAGGCATTGGAATGTTAGATGGGACGGGGAAATGCACGCGTCGGAATGTTAGTTGTGTTCGTCCCACAAAATTACATTTTTATCCCAATTTTATTAATAATTTTCGGATGAACTGTTTTTGTCTTACTAATTTTTTTATAATTAAAAAAATGATCAAGTAGTTTAAATAATGATTTGTAAACGATGTTGAATAACATTTTTTTTATAAAACTAAATATAAAAAAAAATAGAAATATTAAACAACATGCTATGTAATTTCAGATATCATACTTATATTTTTATTGATCCAATTGCATGGAAAACTGTATGCAAAAGCGAAAGTTCCTGACAGAATTAACGAATTCTCATTATTTATTTACATAAGTTAAGGTACTAACTATAAAATTAAGAAAAGAGAGGGTATTTAAACTAGATTTTTATTTCTAAGTGATATAGAATTAATGATATGGAATTCATCAATATACGGAACAGTATACATCATAACAGTAACAAACATGTTTAACATAAACTAAATGATCATGAAGCAGGAAATAATTATCTCGAAATTTTCTTGCAAAAAAAAATGTTATGAGAGGATGCATACATTGATTGGCAATGAGAGAGTGAACTTGAAAGTTTTCTTTTGGCATATTCAACTTGTCTCTTCATGAAATCTCATGAGTTTACACTCGGAAGAAAAGCAAAAAAGTGAGGATTAATGTGTACCCTATGTTGAGCATGATCTTGAGAAAACTAGTTTATTGGGGTCTGTTTTTTCTTAATTATGTTGAGAAATTAATGCTCGACATGCTACTGTGAGTGCATAACCAATGCATCATTGTTTTTGTCACTTGCATGTGACTGCACAAAGTGGAAGAGGACCCCAATCCCCCATTTTCTGCCTCGAATAGCAAGACACAGGTTACAATATTCAGTTTTCAAATTACTAAGAAACATGGAAAGATATAAAATTTTCCTTCCATTTTCTGACACAGCACTAATTTGTTTCTTTTCTGATAGCATGACCAACTTTTTTGGTGGTGGATAAACACTTGGTGAAAAAGTTTAATATTTTAATCTGTGAAGGTAAGATTCTCTGTCGGCTACATATCGCCCAAGAATGAATTTCTGTGGAGTCATATGCATATAAAAAGGTTACGGTCCAAAACATGTTCTACAACCATATACGCATATATTCTCTCTCTCTCTCTCTCTCTCTCTCTATATATATATATATATATATATATATATGTGTATATATATATATATTAGGGACATAAGAATACCTAAAAACCCTTTGAAACTTTGATTATTAAAGAACTTTATTAGATGAGGTTAAGTAAAATATTTAAAGAAGGGTACAAGATATACCAACCTATGTATAAACTATTAAAATTATCCATATTTTATGTGAATTTTACAATAAATTCTCATAAAAGTCCGCATAAATCGAGTTTCTCAAAAAGTTTATTGTAAATTTTGTAAAATACACAAAAGTTAGCTGAAAAGTCTCAAAATATAAAAAGTCCTAATAGAGATAGTTTATAATTAGTAATCATTTATATAATTCATATAGTTTTTAAACAAAGTAAAGGTTATTACACTCTAAACTTTCGAAGAAATTGTATCGTTATGAACCCTTTATACACTTGGATTATCTCCTTTTACTCAACAATTAGCGAAATCCCTTTCTGACGTTGCTATGCAACAAAATTTACTTCATTTTTTTTTCAACTAATTATATTTTCCACTTAATTTTTTATTTCCACCTTCAAGATATCTTTTAGGTTATTTAAATACACTCCATTTTATCTATTATGAATAAAAACAATTAATATTTTCTTTATCTTCTCGGTATAATATTCATGTTACTATCACAAACTGGAAAGGAAGAGAATTGTTAGATTCCCCTTTCAGCTTGAGTGAACAAAAATCCAGAGACAAATTAATCAACTTTATTTATTGCTTTAAGTTTAATAAATTGTATTAATCTTGGGACTAGCATATTGTTATGGAGGCTTCTCTTGTTTACAGTCAAATTTGTACCTTAAGAAACCCCGATTATGCTGAATTATGACGATAGATACTTTGTTAGTTACCAGTTTAAATACTTCACAATATTATCAAGAAATAATCAGCAATATTTATCAATTTAAGGTACCATATCGTTACAGAAACCCTCATAATACGATTTTCAGTCCACTTCGAACGAAGAGAGGACAGGGGAAAATGATTGAAACTGGAGAGAAGCATGCATAAGATGGCAACAAAAAATGTTGGGAGTTAACAACGTTACACCAATGACTTACAGCTATTACAAAAGTAGTCCATAATGATTTGTGATTACAAAAGATAACAAATTCAACATGTTCCAAACGAAAGAAACTGCAAAAGCATGGCCGATAAGTGTCTGGTGGAAAACTTTAACCACAGAGCTATGGGCATTGGCCCAAGCCCATAGTCAGCAAATGAAACCTCGGGCCAAGTAAACAAGAAAAAAGACAACTTAAAGACAAATGCTTTTACTGGTATTGTCAGATACCAGAATTAAAATTACACTTAGATAACTCTTAAGACCTTTTATGAGAACTTTAATTTGAATTTGCTACGCAATAGTTTTGTTTGAAAATCAACAATATGAGAAAATGCAATTACGTTTTGCCCAGGAATCAAAGGTGGAAGAAAAAGGAAGTAGTGACCAAAAATATAAAAATGTACGGCACGATCTATCTTGCACCACAAAAACTTGTGCAGTCAAGAGCTGGTACCGGGCCCTCACTTAATTTAGCAGCTGATTATACTTACAGGCTAGCAAACACTATGCCAACCAGCTCGGCCAGCTGCGATGTGTACCAAAACCCCACCCCATCGAAAATTCCATATATCTCTCAGAGGACAACTATGACAGAATAATTGAATATATCTATGAACACATATGCCAATTAAATAATCTTGATGAATAATAAATATTTCATTCAGACACTACCAGAGATGTGAAATGCACATTCCTGTTAACAATAAAAGAACTCCTATGATTTGGACCACCGTAACATGCATCCAAAACATAGTCAACCAAGAGGAGTCACGAGTGGGGATTCTGAATCGACAGGCAACGAATATATTAGTACATCATAAGTTCATTCGTATTTCATATTTCAGTTACAACACAGTAATTCTGTTATTGAAAAATCCTTACCAATCAGCAATTCTCTCTGAAATTAACTGTTGCTGACACCACCATTAAAAAGCATCAAAACCATTGCCATAATTAATTGAAATAGGAAAATCCCAACCGGGAAGAGGTTATATCAGATTCCAACAATTCATGATATGATTATTTATGCAAATAATACCAATAGAGAAGTCTACCTTCTTTGGTTCTATATCCTGCAAAATTTTCAAGCATGCAATACATAAATGCATGCAAAGAATGAAATACTCAGTTGTATTGTAAGCTTTTATAGCTTATGCTGCAACGGATTGCTTCTCCTCGTAATCATAAAGATTAAGAGCTTGCAGCAACTTAGGCCAAGATTCTGGGATCCCTCCTGGCAAGTTAAACTCCAACAATTTTCCTCTACTACGGTAAAATTCCTCAACAGGCTGACTCTGCAAGAGTGATAGAAAACAAGTTAATCTAACTGAAATCAATGGGGAAAAATTTACAAATAATAAGATAAATACCTTTTCACTGTATATTCGAAGCCTTTCTTTGACTACGGCTTCAGTATCATCTGAACGTGTAATGAGCTTTGACATACAATGTGCAGGAGGAAGAAGTGGTGCCATGACCATTCCTGAGCGCCCATTCTCACCCTTGATGCTGATGGAAGCAACATTAAAATTTCCTCCACATTGATTGCAGATTCTTCTACCAAGGCATTTTGCAAGCAGTGCTTCTTCTTGGATCTTCAGATTGACCACCAAGTCAATGTCAGTTACCCCTTCCAATATTTCCTGATCATACAGATTTTAAGCACATTTTTATCTCATTGTTGTTATGAAATGAGGAGGGATTAACAAAGTCTGGGGAGGAAGGAGAGAAAATATAGCCATTGTTTGACTACAAGCACATGTAGTAATTAATATAAACACATTAGGAGAGTATCAATACTCACTGCTTGCTTTATTGTTCGAGGAAAACCATCAAGAATAAATCCTGTTTCACCTTTTGCTTCCCCATCAGCGAGCCTCTTCGACAATAAACTTATGATGATTTCATCGGACACCAATTTACCTTGATTAACAATTTCTGATAGCTATAAAAAGACCAAAAAATGAAAATCAGAAAACAAAATAAAAAAATTAACCTGCTATCCTCTTACAAATCAGAAAACAAAATAAAAAAATTAATACGCAACCCCAACAACAGAATAATCCTTCAACAATGTCAAAGACGCGAATGCAAGAAAACTAAAATTAAAAAGTTTAAGGAAATGAAAATCAATAAATCTCATAGATACACATGGCACAGATTGTCAAAAATAAAGCTAACTCAACAAAAATATGCCACAACTATTCAGTAGCCAGCCTTGTAAGTTGTAACAATTAGAAGCCGAAAAAAAGAACTCAGATCCACTCAAATCATGACTTTCCAATGAGAGATTTAAACCACTTTAAGATCCCGGAGTTTGCACATTAGTAGTCATATGTTTTTCAAAAACAACATCAATGAAGGGGGACAAGCGACAACCTTCGGATCTCCCATTCAGCCAATTGAGTGCATCCAATTCCAAAGTTCGTTTTTACCAGAATGAACAACTTAGTACCTAGGGTCACATAATGACATCACTACTTAAGATTATTTCACAGGAATGCATTAGATTTACGTTTCACAACGCGTGACATAATACATAAATCTGAGAAATTCAAAGTCAATGAACTCGATAGAAGGGTTTTGAAATCCTTGAGAGAGAGAGCGGATGGGACCTGGGAAGAAAGGGGGCCGTTGGAGGCGAGCTCACTGCGGACGAGATCGCCGGTGGCGATGTGAGGGACGCCGAGGAGGTTGCAGAGGCGGCTAGCGTAGGTGCCTTTTCCTACGCCGGGGCAACCAAGGAACACCCACTGGACATTCCTCTCCTTGTGCGGCGGCGCTTGGGACAGGAATCTACGCGCCGCGCAAGGGAGGGAGGAGGTGCGCTTTACGAGGCGGGTTATGGCCGCCATTGGAAACGCAGGTAGAGGCACAACAACGCGGTGGCGGTGTTAATCTCACAAATGCTGCGCGTGCACTAAGCACTCCATCCTTCTTAAATAAATAACTCTTTTTCGCCCTTTTTCTTTTTTCCTTTGAAGTGTGTACCTTATCTGATTATTAACTCTGATTTTCTTTTAAATTTTAGGGAAAACGCATTTTTCCCGGACGGTGTTTTTTCGAGTAACCGCTGACGGTTTTTTGAAACTAAAAAAGTAAAATTATTTAGAATAATAATATTAAGTTTTAAGGATAATAAAATTATTTATCTTAAGAATTTACATAAATTTTAATTTCAAAACTAATACAATATAGAATATAAATTTAGGACTAAATAGACTACTTTTTTTATCGTTAAGCGGTCATTGTTTTGTTGCTTAATTTAAGCCGTGTTCTTATGCATTATTCACGTTAATTTTTTAGTACATTATTAAATCGTCATTGTGCTTTCTCTTCGTGTTGGGAGAAAAAACAATTATTTTTTTGGGAATTATTATTCATTTAATTATTTAAATTAATATGATATATTTTTTATACAATAATTTTATACTAGTTAATAGTCTCTCCAAGAAAAATAGTGAAAAATAATATTTTAAGAAGAAACATAAAGCTACTGTAAAAATTTAGATTATTCAATGGAAACTTATCGGTGTCCATATGTTTCATAAGAAACTTTGTGCCACAGAATATGCCACGTTTGTTGTTTCTCTCACTCGAGTTTCTATGAAAAGTGGGACAAATAGAAATAAGGAAAAGTTTTCACTATTTGTTGCTCTTCTTTCTCGAACCGTGTTCCATGGCATGCTCACTTTCTACAACTCTTGTGTCAAATTCTCTCCACCTTAACAGAACCACAAATCAGTGTCGGTTGCTTGTACATCCCACCCTTTCACTCAACCAAAACCTTCCCATATATTCCAAGAATCTTCCCAAACTCTTAACAACTCAATACCATGAAACAACCGCACGCTTTGCTTCTAGCGCTGCAGGCAAGTTTTGTCTCTGTGGTCTTTTCTCTTTGTGAAGGAAAGAAAAAGATAAGTTTCTGAAATAGCATCTAAATAATCATACTTTTTTCCGGTTATGAAGTAGCCACTTGTCAAACTTGATTGCACTAAATTGTTGAATATATCATCAATCATATGACCTACATGAGATTAATTTAGTTAGAATGCACGGATTGTTTATATTTTACTGTAATATTATTGAATCTTGTAATAATTACTTCAAAATCTATGATAAGTTCTAATAAGTTAACAGTGTAAATTGAACGAAAAATATACGTGTATCTCACTCAGACTCTTTAAGGTTAATTGTTTCAATGGGTGTATGAGAACAGGAGTAGAGTCTTCCGTGTTGAGTGAGGATACCACGAGTTCTCTGGATTCGGTGAAAGTGTTTGATTTGAAAGGAAACGAGATTCCAATTTCTGACTTGTGGAAAGATAGGAAAGCCGTTGTGGCATTTGCACGCCACTTTGGGTGATTTTATCATATTTACTACACAAATTAAGTTAATCTTCAGTTAGATGTGGTAACTCTTGTTTATCAGTTGCTTAACAATATCTTGTGCTCCTTTTTATCTGTAAATTTACAGGTGCGTGTTGTGCCGCAAAAGAGCTGATTATCTTGTATCCAAGAAGGTAAAGTTTTCTGTTGTTGTTATCTATCTTTTCTCCTGTTCTTTTATCAATTGCCTTATGTTCTAATAAGCTTCCACCTTAACTGAAGATTCGTTTGATTATTGTCGGAAGTTTGGTCGTTGCTTTTAGCATTGAGTCTTAGAAGTTTATTTTGGTTCTTGGTTTTTGAGTTTATAGTATCCACTAGATATGCATCTTTATTTCAAATGCTGGTCCAAACATGATTCATGGTTTTTTCCCCTTTCATGTGTCGATGTTTGGACTTTGGATAGCTTCCTTTTTGTGTAATCTGTATTTTACCTTACTAGTTCTGACTGAAGATATCCTCCCCTATACTTACCATATGGTGGAAGGCCTAAACATGTGTATCAATTTTCTAGAAGATAATCTACAATGAGAAGTTTTGGCAAGAGAAATCACATTTCATGATAAAGATTTGGATGTCTACTAACATGGATATGTTCTGTCAACAGGATATAATGGATGCATCTGGTGTGGCACTTGTATTGATTGGACCTGGGAGCATTGATCAGGTATATCAGAAGAAATTATGGTGAATGTCTGTACTTTTTATCAGGTCTGTTGCGTTGGATTTTAGTTTATTTTCTTCTTTGGATGTTTCATTTTATTTTCTTCTACTGCATTCAACATTTTATTGGCAAGGTTCATTAATCCTAAGTCCACTGAGAACATGTTTTCACAAGCTTCAATTTATATTCGAACCACTAGTGTAAGCACTCGGAACATGTATTTTAAGTCCACTCGGAACATCAGCTTATATTCGAAACAATTAGGTTCACTAAACTTAAGTCCACCCAGAACAAGTATTTTAAGTGGAAGCACTAGTGTTCAATTGATATAATTTTTGCTGCAATGCTCCCAAGTATTGATTTCTTCTTTCTCTTATCATCCGAGTGTGCTGGAATTTGTAGCTAATACCTTATGTTGCTCCAGGCCAAATCCTTTGCCGAGCAATCAAAATTTCAAGGAGGTGCTTTGCAGATAACCTTATGTTTCTTCTAATTTTCGTAATTTATCCATCTTATATCAGAACTTTGACAGGACTCTGTTATCTCTTCTAGAAATATATGCTGACCCCACTCACTCGTCATATGAGGCCTTACAGTTTGTTTCAGGAGTTTTAACCACATTTACCCCCAATGTAAGTCAGACACCTCCAAATCTTTTATCTGTTGAGACTTTTGTTAATTGTACAAAGGATATCCCATGTTGATTTCAGCTGTTACACAGGCAGGTCTCAAGATAATACAGCTATATATGGAAGGTTATCGACAAGATTGGAAACTTTCATTTGAAAAGGATACTGTTTCCAGAGGAGGCTGGTATGTAAATTATCTTATGCTGATTTTTCCAGGTTTGACTAGTCTATTCCGCTCTTATATGGTATGTTATGAAATACACCATTATTATAATTTATAATGATACTAGACTATTCCTTGTTAAATTAGCCAACAAATTATAAGATGAAAACCACTCGTACTATTAACTTTTCCTCTATATTTGACATTGTGGCAGGAAACAAGGAGGAATTATAGTTGCAGGCCCGGGGAAAAATAACATCTTATACCTTCATAAAGTATGTGCAAACCCCCTATAATATATTCCTTGGTTGCTAGCTCAACATTTTTCTGATATCATTATGTGAAAAATGTTCATGTGAGCAGGACAAAGAAGCAGGAGATGACCCAGAAATTGAAGATATCTTAAAAGCATGTTGCTCGTGAAGAAAGAAAGGAAGAGAGGGAGCCTCTCTTTCTCTGCTTTATTTATCCTGCTTCCGGAAGTGGTAGTCGCATCATACATACAGCATTGTACATCATATATAAGCTGCTGCTTATGCCGAACAGTGGCTTTTCTTGAGTTTCAGTTAAAAAATAACGTTATTACCCGCCATTTATCCAAAGAAAACCCACATTTTGGAACCTATTACTTTGAGGTTGTTAACTTGATATAAAATATTGTACATAATAATTTTCCTACCACTTCACATGGTGGATCCTTCTATTCTGTTCTTCCTACTGGTGGAATGGAAGAATATGTTAATTTTGTGAACCATTTTGTTTCATTTTCCAGTTTGCGATGGAATGTGCTGGACTTCTAAAACTGACTTGCTTAATCAAAATATACTATGTTAAGCGTTCAAACCTTTTCAGTTCCGCTTTGTATATTAGTTTTGTTTGTTTGGTTTTTATTCTTATTTGTGTTCAAAAAACGTGAATGGGAGTCAGTCAATGCTGATTTTAACACCTTCCAGAACAAAAAGAAATTTAATTCCTTGAGTTTCTCTGAACCTTGCTTGTGATCCTGAATGGAATAACCAGTATGGCAATTGGGAATGACAAGTACAACTGGACAAAACATTGAGAATGGTTAATTACACGATTTGATTCCCCGGCACTAGGTATCATTCATTATGTTACAGCTATTTGATTACAGAATACATAGGAAGCTATACCCAGATACAATATATACAGAGCGGAGAGGGGGGAAATGGCATTTCTTACCTAATATTTGTACAAAATTCCTGTTAGTTGTAATGGAACTATTCAACGATTACTTCCTGTGCAACCAACTGTATAATGATTTTTTGGTGACCTTCAACCTTATTAGAATTGCAGGTCTCCTGGTCTGAAACCCCGTTGTGGGTAAAGCATTCTCTCCTGGTAGTTCTTCTGTGTTGAGATTTGCAAGGTTGGGGTGCTTTAACTTCGGTGTGTTACTTAGTGCTAATCTGGTTCTGGCAGGAAAAACTTCCAGTCCCAACTCATTTCTAAGAAGTTTTATGATTGCCTCTTGCACTTCTAATATGTGTTTGGCTGGATTTTCATCTACTTTGGTAGCTCCTATGACGATCAAGATATCATCATTTATTGAATGTCCTGCGTCCACAAATGCCAACTATGAGTTATATTTAGTTACATGGTCTTTTTTTGTGTTTCCACCTGCTTCCTTTCTAAGTTCATATAAGATTAATACTTATGTTGTGTGAACAAAAGACCATGCAAAAAAGTATGCAACATGGCACTGTAGCATTATATGGCTAAAATTCCCACTCATACCTAAATTGTAATTCTCTTTGATCATCCGAAGAACTGCAAGAACAACCAAACGAGCTTCAACCTGTTGACAACGTAGATTTGTTAACAAAAAGACTTGAGACTTTTACAAAATCAAATGTAACTTAAAAAATTTTGTTTTCTTTTTTAAATTTGAGAGTAGTGACAAACTCAAGAAATAATATGGAAATAAATGAATTGCAGCAAACTGGAGTTAGCAAAAAAAGAAATGCTGGTCCTTATAATCGAACAGACTTTACCTTTTAGTCCCTACGCTTAAAATCATTCATTTTGGTCTTTATCTATTCTACTTTTAATTTCTTTTAGTCCCTATGACTTTAAACAGTAGGAACTAAAAGAGATTAAAAAAATTGTGTAAGGATTAAAATTGTTTTTGTTGGGATTAAATGGATAATTCTTAAGTATGGACCAAAAAGTAAAGTTTTATAACTATAGGGACTAAATGAGTAATTAAACTTACATTCTACTGTTGACTGAAATTCATGTAAGACTCACTAAATCATGATTCGTGAATTCCAGTCCCAATTTAGTGGGACTCACATGAAATTCAAACAATAGTTAAGTGTATGTTGAAAAGATAGTACTGCTAGAATCTCTACTAACAAAAATGTAGATTTAAACCGTGCTACAGTTGAGACAGTTTTATGACAAATATTAACTGAGTAGTTTATCGGCACCTTTGTGAGACCTTGAACATCAATTGCTAGGATGTCAGCTACCCTCTTCAGCAGGTGAGCAGCAATTTTTTCAAGAAGTAAACTTTGGGATCTCTCTAATTCAGATATATTGCTGGAAGAAAATTCTCCTTGCTTCTCTCTGTTATCTAGTATTACTCCTTCACACCATTCCTCAATCAGTTCTTCCAGATAGCAGTCATTGGGTCTATACCTGCAATACATAATTTATTTAGTTTGAAACTGAAGTGATGTCAGTATCAAAGGATATTCTGGTCATTCCCTTAGACATACAAGATAGTCCTCGATCACATCCTTCTGTTCAATCCTTTGTATGCTATAATGTTTTGGAACTCATTATATTGTGTACTATGAGTACAATAAAAGTAAAAAATTAGGACCAGAATCCCCTCTTTTTCCTTGGACAATGAGGGATTCCTGTTCCTCTTAAACTCAAGGAGACCGAATAAGGTCACGGTATATCACTTCAGTAAAGCATATCATATCATCTTGAATTTGGGTCGAGCCTAACTCAATACCAAAAACTAGTTTATGAGGTGAAGATTGGCCTAGTTTTTACATGCTCCACTTTGATAATATTTATAATATATATAGGATCTAAACACCTTTCTTATGCCTACTATTGGTCATCTGAAACATGGAGCCTGTAGAACCATTTTTTTATTGCATTGGGAAAGATGTGAGGCCAAGTAGATTTTGTAACAGGTGAAGATGGCCCAGTATCATAACTATGATAGGGGCTCTGGTTTCCATCTTGAATTTGCATTGAACCTAATGCAACCCCAAAAGCTAGCTCATGAGGTGAGGATTTCCCAAGCCTTTATAAGCTCTAATTTGCCCGTTCATATCTATAATTGATTTGGGATCTCAACTTCTAAGAAACAAATTTTTACTACCAATTCACTCCGGGAGAAATTATAACTAGAACCAACAGATAATGTCAAAATAGGGCATAATAGAAAAGAAATAATATTGAATAGGATCAACTATATCATAGTTAACATTATGAATGTACCATCTGCCGTAGACTACTGTATGTATGCAGGTAAGTGCATGTAGACCTTGAAGTAACATATAAAGAACCTTGCTGGGCATAGGTAATTCAGATATATACTTGAAATTGAAACCATTAAGTAGTGATCTCACAATCATCCAAATTTGTTAAAAAAGTTGTAAACATAATTTAAAATGGAACAAACAAAGTGTACATAACATTTGACAGATACACATAACTTGGAAAAGATAATGAGTCCGAGCTATAAGTAAAGTGAGTAAAGCTAACATACCCTGCCTTTCGCATATCCTGGTATATAGCCAGGCATTGTTGCACCTCATGTAGGGAGCCATATTTACTACGTGACTTCAGAAGTGTGTTATATGTTATCTGAGAGGTAGTCAACAAAATCAATATAGATAAGATGATGATGAAGCATACTATGTTAATTTTTCCATAGATCACAAGAAAATTGTAATTTCTATTATTTCCAGAAATTTACTGTATTATGCATTGTATGTCATTTCTTTTCAAGAGTAGATATGTTACGATTCTACTTATACTTTAGTTGATTTTATGGATGAAGAATCTTAGAGCAGAGTTGCATTGTGTTCATGGATAGAGCTAACTAAATTTACCATTTTGTGAATATAACCGTAGGTGTGAACTCACCAAATTCGGACGTATCTGGTATCTTTTCATTTCTTCATATAATGTTAATGCTTGCATAAAATTCTTACTTTCAACACAAACCTGTGAAACAGAAGGCAAAATTCCCCTATGTCAAAGACCATATAATTTTAAAGATAGTTAAAAACATCCCCTTGAAGTGTGCAAGTAATGTCATAAAATAAAATGAGCTCATTTTGACAGAGTAACTTTGGACCTTAATGGCTATCGTATATGCAATAACATCAGGTTTGAGTCCAGCATCACCCATGTTTTTCAAAATCTGCATGGGAAACATGGTCATCTCATCACATCATGATATGAATAAGCTAAGAAGAAGAATATGTACTCTCTGCACATCATTATTATGAAGTCTGGGTTTTTTTTTTATGGAATATGACATTATGACTTCATGGTAATAACAACAACTACAACAAAGCTTTATCCTACTAGGCGAGGTCAACTGGAACATATGACTTCATGGTAAGTGTGCAAGAATGGTACCATAATCAGTTTCCATGGCTACAATTTAAACATGACAACTTTGAAGTTTCAACCATTTATCTTGCAGCTATATTCCTTGCACATATTTTGCTTTTTAACATTTTGGAAAAGAGTTTTCCTACTACCTGCTCTATATGCCTCAATAGTCTAAGTAATATCAAAGCTAATTCATCAAGCTTACACATCCATTTGTACCCAACCAAAAAATTGAACAAATCAAGCTTATTGAGATTAACAAAGACTTTGTAGTTGTTCTTTTGGTGTGAGTAAATAGTCCATGCATGTGATCCTTAAAAAATGTCAAATATGATAAGAAACCCATGGTATTCCCTGTGGCAGTGTTACCAAAACATCAATCCTAAAACAATTTGACTGAAAAGGTTTCCAAACAAATTATACAAAATAGACGCAAATACATAATATTTTAGATTAATTATAGTTTTACCTCAATGGCACCCTCCACATTTGCCGATGCTCCACATATATCTATCAAAATTGACCAGCTAATTTGGTTAGGGGAAAGACCTAATGTTTCCATCTCTTTGATTAATGCTTTTGCATGGTAATAATCAGTACCACAGGCCTTCAGTAAAATATTGTATGTTGTTGTAGTTGGCGTGAAAGGGAACCTCTTAGCAAAACTCAAGATGTGTGAATTAGAAATGCCAGTTGGCATAGTAGTAACATTATGCACACGTTCCTGCCCTATATTGTTGTTGCAGCCTTCACCAAATGACCCTAACATCTTTTCTCCCTTCCAAGAATGGAAAAAGCGAAAAGCCCTATCATATTGGCAAGCTTCAACACATGCATTTAAAATGATGTTGAAACACTGAGTATTAGGTTCGCTGCCAGCCAAAAGCATTTCTTCAAATAACTGAATTGCCTGCTCTACAAGCCCTGCATGTGCACAGGCATTGATTAATGATGACCATGCAACAATATTAAGAGAAACACCAGCAGAAAGCATGTCTTGCTTGATTTGTAGAGCCATCTGCCACAATTTCACATCTGCAAAGACCTGAAATTGGTGTGTCAGGAGATGTCAAGTGTACTATAATATGAATTTCTTACATTACAAACTACTAAACTGAAGAGAGGTTAAGGAGAAGGTTGTAGATTCCATGCAATATCATTGAAATTATGGTGATTTTGAGTCTACTATAATATACCTTTATAATTGTGCTGTAGGTGAAGACATCTAATTTTAGCTGTCCTACTGATTCCAAATGCTTAAGTTCCCCATAAATGTCTCGAGCCAGATCAACTCTTCCAGCAACACAGCATGCTTTCAGTAGGATGTTATAAGATGTCATATCTGGTTTTAAACCAAGATTCTGGATTTGTAGAAGGAATTTAGCCAATATGCAGTATTTGCTCAGATGAAGAAAAACTTTAATGCTCCTGCCAACTCTTGGCATGAAAATGAAAGTGTATGATGTCAATTAATATGTCAAATTATGCAGAAGAAAATCTAATAAGCCTTTTTCTCTCATTTTCAAGAGATATCAAATGAAAACAATGTAGATTTAAATCACTCGATGTCATCTATCCAACACATTAAAAATTACTGTGAGAAAACAGGAATTGTAAAGACAAGCGAAGTTTTCAAAATCTTTATTGAACTAAATATGCATGAATGCATACCTTTGTTCTAGAATTCTGCCTATTTCTTCTGTGTTCACATGTGTGTATATATATGCATATCATAATGAGGGGAACAAGGGTTACCTGCATATTTTGATATAGATTTAATGTGTAGCTAAGATCATGGGAATTCACATTCATGAGGCTGTTGAACACATATATATTTGGAGTGATCTTCTGATTAAGCAAATCCTGCACCAGAATTTGTATAAGAGAATACGATAGTACACATCGGAGATGTGAATAAATAATACAAAAACTTGTATTACAAGTACAGTATTTAATTTTCCGAACAATCATATTTCATACTTTGAAATTCTAGGACAGTGCCACTTTAGGAAACATGTGAAGCCAAAATTACTGAGTATGCCAAAACATAGTTAAAAACTGATACAGCTTCTGTATCCCTACCCTGAGGAGAACATCTCTCTCCCATCATTATCACGTATTTCTTTTTGACAAATTTAGGGGCTGTGAAGAGAAATAAAAAATGTTAAAACTAGATAGATTATCCCTATATCACTAAGAGCACAGCATAAGTATACACGGTTCAAGTAGTGGGAATGTAGTTCATCATTTTCTTACAATACTACTACTAAACTCCATTTAAAGAGAACCAGAAAATTTATTTGTGGTGCAGTGAATTCAATACGGGGTGCAGAGTTACGGAGAGAATTCAGACACTATGGACTATCCTATAAAACTCATTATGCTATAGTAAACATTAGTATGTCAAAATCACTTTATGAGGTAAAGCTAGCGAATGAAAATTAAATCCACATAAAAATATAATATGATTTGGTCTCTATATGCTGCTGTAAATTTGATATGTTCAATACACATTTTCAAACTATAACCTTTATGCCCTTTTTTGTAACTGTAATGCATGAAAGGAACTTGAGTATTATTGGGTGCCTAAGTCCTACATCAAGTAGTAAGGGATGCTAGGTGGAGATTATATAAGTATTTTATTCTTCCTCCTTAAAAGCTAGCTTTTGAGTGTGCGCTCCTCAAGTGCTTGAATGCTTATCTAGTATCAGTGCTAGTTGTCAATACATTTAGTATGGGTGGAGTATTGATGTTTGGTTTTCCCCTTAATAGCTAACTTTTGATGGTGGGTTCTCAAAGTGCTTGGATACTTATCACCACAGTACTAGTTGTTTAATAAATAATGCCAACTCTCAAGTCATCTCTTCTCATTTCCCATGCAACAGGATTCTTGTGCTTGAATGCTGTCCTTTACTGCTTCATATTCAACTAAACCATGGTGATTGGAGAGGTTAACATTTGTGAGTAGGTATCAATAAAATAATCCTCATTGTGTGTAACACATGTGTGCTAAAAGATTTACTACTTGTCTCTGCTACAATCTCACAACTAATTAACTGCATTCTTCTGAAAGCTTTTTATTGGCAATGTCAATTAATCCAATGCAGTGTTCATATTCATTAATAACATAGCTCCACTTTTGATATATCTATGAATGTTCGATTAAGAGAACAGGAGCAAGAGCAAAAGAGACCATAAACATGGGGGTTGTAACTTGTAAATGAATGGCATTGTATCATAAGAACTACACCTAGGAGAATAAAAATAATAATGTAGAACGCGTAAATATTTGAATATCTTAAAGACAAGTTTATGTAAGTCAATGCAAACTGCCTTGGAAAATACCTCATATATGTACCTAGATTTCATGAAATCACGACATAGACCACAAGCGTCAATTATTGCCCGGTATATGTACATATTGGGAATATTCACGTGTTTTTTCGACACCTCATATGCTTTCAAAGCAGAAATTAAATCCCTCCTTTTGCCAAATTCTGATATAATATTGCAGAACAATATCTGTGCATGGGGAAGAAGACATGCATACCTGAAAGATGTGAAAATATCATATAAAATCTGATCACAGACACAATCAACATACATTGAATTCACTAGTTTTGAAGATATAAATTAAAAATTAACTTCACAGAAGATAGTATAAAACAGAAATATATATTAAAAATAAAAGACAACACATTCAAATGAAATAAATATGCTTTAGAAATTGAAACATGTGTCTTTTACAGCAATATAAAATCATACCTCACAGCTAAAATTGGGTTCCGCTTAAGAACACAGCGTTTAATTACATCAGACGGCTGAACAAGTCCCCTGATTGGTATCCTGAAACCTGAAAGACGAAATAAATGAAATTTATTTATCACAATGTCAATCACTAGGAAGCTGCACTAACATTCTCTCTCCCCTGAAAAAAGAGTTCACTCAATTGATAATGATGTATTGCCACCAGTATTACTATTAACGGTGATAACAGTAGTAGCATTCTACTGGTGGTGGCAGTAGTAGTACAACATATGCTCAGAACATACACCTAATTGATACTATTTTTCTCTATATCTACATTCTTTTACATCCTATCACATATCATATCTACATTTTTCTCCCTTTTATTTCTATCCTTTTTAAGCGTCTAAATGAATGCACAGTATAAATGCCAGATTTATATATGTAAAAAAGGTAAACACCCATTAGAATTGTTTCCTAATAAGAAAATAATAATATTTAATTAAAACTACTAAATAACAAATTTTGGTTGATCTTTAATTTATATGAAACTAATTTAAAAAAATTAAATATACAACATTTCTTAGAATCTCTCTCTCTCTCTCTCTCTCTCTCTCTCTATATATATATATATATATATATATATATATATATATATATACAGAGAGAGAGAGAGTTTTTTATTTCCGTACAATGTAAGAATTCAGAAATAAACTACACAACCGATAAAAAACTATTTTAATTTTGACTTTAAGATAATTGTTAAAAGTTGTATGCACTTCTATTTAGCACCAAACTAATCTCTATCTCACTCGATAAACCCATATGGGGTGAAAAGCTGATACTTTTAGTGACAAATCCAATCAGAAGCTAATGATCAAACTTCAATTATCAGTTAAAGCACACAAATGTCAAATCACTTATGTCAACTACTTCAGGAAGGTTATCATAAAATGAGCAAATTTATCATAAACGAAAATTTGTAATGTGCATTATATAACAATAGATTTATAAGATTGTGAGGTGGATCTACACTACTTGAAAAAAGAAGCAAAAGAAAAAGAAAATGGAGCCAAAAATAATTACGTGTGAGAACCTCCATGAGTTCAACGGCCTCCTCAATATGGTCGCACGTGACCAAGCGGCTACATTCCTTCGCAATGGCATCGATGGAAGAGCCATTAAGATGAGCAGCTAGAGAAACTGCGCCACCCTGCACTCTGTTGAGAGTGTGAACCACGGTCCGAACCTTCTTTCCTCGAATTCCCAACAGAAGCATCTTAGCCAGAACCTCAGCATCGACCCCAGAATCAATGGCATCCTCAATAACCACTTCGAATTCCTCAACGAGCTTGGAATCTGCGCTCAGAACGACGGGGGCTTGAAGAGCGCAAGAAATGTTCCAAGAGGAAGAGAAAGGAGCGAGCTTTGGAAGAGAGGGTTTGATGGGGTAGCGATGGGTTTGATGGGGTGCTGAAGAAGAAGAAGAAGAAGAAGGAAAAGGGGTTGCGACAGAGGAGCCAAGGATCACGAAATCTCTCATTATTGGTTGGTTTGTTGAGTGAATTGTAATGGAAGGGTTTATATGGGTTTTGGAATTTGGATTGGATTGGATTTGAAAGGAGCATGTTTTTTCTGCATTATCGTACCCACAATTCCTTTTACCTTCATCCACGTCATCTTATTTGGCCTTTTTGTTCACTTTTCTGTAGAAAATATCTAGCAACCATCCTAAACGCACTCTCGTTACCATCCTTAAAAACAAAACGTTACAGACATATTCCTTTTGAATGCAGATTTTATTATTTGGTAGAATCTATTTAAGATGATAAAATTAAGTGAGACTAAATAACAAAACCTACAAAAAGTTATTAAAATAATAAATTTTTTATTAATAATAAATAAAGTATTCAATGTAGTGTATTACTACTATTGTATCTCCCTTAAAAATTTACACTCTGTAGAAACAAACGTGAGAAATATACTCTTATCTTTTTTAATTATATTTATTGTATTGTACATTGTTTTCATATTTTATTTTGAAGATAAATGTATTTCACTTCCACTTTAATATGAAGAAAATTTTCGTAATTTTAATTGGACTATTTTTATCGATCACTTAAAATATAAACAATTTTTTTCAATTTTAAGTATTTTTTTTACTTCAAAATATTATTTTTATTCTTAAACCGCTCTAATTGAATTGAATTTATTACTATAATTCTATGAAATATTGATATATCACGATTAACTATAGAAATTCATTTAATATCAATTCATGAAAGTAAAAAAAATACTAATCACAAGAGTATACAGTAAAATTATACATGACATTTTAATTTGATATAAAAAATATATATGAAATGGGAAAACAATTTTAATTCATTTATAAATAACATGAAAAAAAATAATAACAAAAATATTACACAACTAATTGTTTTTACCCTTTGTAGTTTTAGGTTTAGATCATACTTGTGTAAAAATGTTATCTAGATCGAGCTGTAGATTAAAATGGGAGCTTCCTTCAACAATTAATCTTTTGATCCAAAATTGATTACCTGGTAACCAATTATATAACCTAAACCTAATCACTAATTGTCATTTCCAAAGCCATCCAAGTCCAACAGTTATCTTATCTTTACTTTTCAATATTGTTCTCTAGCAAAAAAAAAACGCACAAGAAAAAGGCTCAAGCAGGCACATAATGTGATCATTTTGTTCCGTATTCACAACACACTTCACATGTAGGAGAACCATCTGAAAATATATTGGCCATGAAAAGCCAAGGACAAATCCGTGGAAGAAAATAGTTTGTTTCAAGTGGGCGAAGCAACAAAACTAGAGAAGGAAATGGAGAAGCCATCAACTACATTCGAAAAAGGATATACATTTTCTGTGAAATACTAAACAGTGCTTTATATAAGATCACTTGATTGGTGCAAGAATGGTGTACAATAAAAGAAATGTGACAATAATAATTGCACCCCCTAGAGTGAAAGTGGGACTGTTCCAGAACTTGAGGTTTGATCTCTCTGTCCTCTTGATTGGATCAACCTCCTCAGAAAGAGGGAATTCTGAACGCCTAGGGTTCCAACTCACATACTTATCTGAAAATTTTGAGAAGGGTTTTTTGCCCCCTTGCTTTTTGAATTTTGACCATGCTTTGTCCCAGTCTGTTGAAGATTTATCACCTGCCACATTTAACGAACAGTTATAATAAGTTGCAGCGAGCTCTACACTTTGTTTAATGGATTCAATACTATATATATATAAATGGTGATTGTAGAAGAAAAAATACATACCCTTATTATTGTTATCGTCTTTGGGTTGAGATTCCTTGGAACAGAGAAGCTTGAAAGGTGAATGGGAAGAGGAGAAAAATGAGTACTGGTATCGTGAAGAAGAGAAGCGATGCGATATGAAAGATGGCGATGAAAGATGCGTGTAAACATCCATTTGCATGCAATTGAATTTGAATTCCAAATTTGTTTTTGGTGGAAGCAAAGAAGAAGGATCATCACTTGTTCCTTATCCTCTCAGTTCGATCTCAAAATTCATCACCTCCTCACACGTGTCCTTCTTTTTCTCTCCTCAACCTCCACCTTACCATCAATCACGTTACCTAGTCTGTATCCTTAATTTTGTTACCGATAAAGCCAGAAATTACAGAAGCTAGGTTTCATGAAGTAAAAACCTATCTCAAATATAATTTTATAGGTTATTTTTATTGAATTATGTTTTGTGGTTCAATTTTAGTTTTAGGTCATGATTATTTGATATTATATATAAAGATAGAATAAAAGCCCAGAAACTATCTAATATTTTAATCTTGAATAATAGACACTAATGCATTGTTTCTTTATAGCAATTTACCTTGGAGTTGATTTATGAGGGGAGATTTAGACATATACATTGCATATTTATATTTATATAGATGTGCGGTTATTCATGTGGGTCTCAGGCAATGAAAAATCTTTACATTTAACAAAAAAATTAATTCAATTCGTTAGAATAAATTGTTCAAAACAACCTTATTCATAATCCATTATATAACCATTTTAGTATATTTTTAATTCCTTTAATTAAAAGTCTTTTATAACTTTAGATATATTTAATCATAATTAAAGTCGTGTTAAATAATATTAGTTATATTCAATATTAAAAAATATATAAATTAAATATTATACTTATTTACATTTAATATTATATATTGCAGAAAATAAATAAAAAAATTATATATAAAAATTGATTATATATATATATATATTATGATACTTATAATTTTAGATGTGTAGAAATTAAAATACGTAAAATAATTATTTTATCTTTTTATTTTAAAATTTAATAAATAATTTTTAGAAGTAAAGATTGATTTTAATAAAAAAGATATTAATATTACATTTAGATATAGAAAATATTAAAATTAGATTTAACTTTTTTTATTAAAATAAAAATTCATATATAAATATTACATTTTTTAATGTATAAAAAAATAAAATTTCTTCCTTTTTAAAGTCGATTGTGAATTTAAAGTATTATATTTATCAAAATTGATAAATTAAAAAAAAAATTAAAATCAATATAATAATCACTCAAATTAAATTTACCATATCTAATTTTAAAAACAAATATAATTTTTTTAATAATTATATCTTTAATTTTTAAGGTAATTTTGTCATTTTTAGAATAATTTGTCATTATACTAAAAATGTTATTATTTAATTATCCTATATTTAATTACATCAATCACATTAGGTATAATAAATTTATCATATCTCTTTAAATTTACTATCTTTTCCTCAATCCAAGTAACCCCATAAATCTACTCAAATCACCTTAAATTCACTCCCTCAAATTTCTATCCCAATCAAAACACAAACTAAGACTTCAATTTAAAGTCTTATAAGGTCAATAATTAACTATCGTAGTAATCATCATACCCTTTATCTCTTCTCTATTCCTTCCCCTCATCTTCCTTTATAATTTAAAAAAAATGCAAAAGTTATAATTATAAAAAAAGATAATAAGATGGGTCAATCCGTTGTATTTTTGTTTATTCAGTCTTTGGTTCGTCAAAAATATGATAGAGCGAGTTGATCCATTATAATCATGAGGGATTGCGAGACATCCAAAACGGGTTGACAAATTGATTAGTCATCATTTTTATTTAAATTATTTTATTTTTCTCTTTTAAATCAAAATTTTCAATAAATTTAATAATAAAATTATGATTTGTTTATCAATAATTTAATATATATATTTTAAGTTCATAATATAAATTAATATTAAAAAATTATAATTTAAAATAATTAAATTAAGATAAAATTTATATAATAATAAATATACATGGTATAATAAAACTTGTATGTTATTTCAGTGACTGTATTATAATAAAAATATTTTTTTTATTAAGAAGATGACAGGACAACCACAAATTTATTGGCAGACTCATAATACCTAATCTGTTTTATCAAATAAGTCTTTATTGAATCTAATAATGACCTTTTTTTTAATCTTCATTTTTCCCTTTTAATTAAAACAATGTATTAACTTATTAATGAAAACATAGTAATTTTTAAATAACTCCTTATATGAAGACTAATTTTGCTGGATATTAAAAAAATATTCTTCTATAGTTCTGGCCTAGACAAGCAACAGTAGCACATGATTTGTATCAGGTGCTGTGGTTCATGGTCACGCTGTGACCCACTACTCCTTTTCTTTCACCGTCACCTCCTTATGTTCACAAAAACATTACGCCCTCTCATGTCCCTTCAACTTCTTTTCCTATACCACCTCTTCTCTCTGATCTTCCTTCTTTATCTAATGTACTATCCACAATCTATTTAAACCGCCAAACTATTCGACACCATATAACCCTGTTGACATATCGTTATTTTTGTTGTGATACACTAAGGCAAGTGTGTAACCAAGACCCTTGTATTAGAAAGTTGTTTATGTTTTATTTTATGATATTGCACTTTGTTAATTCCATGGTGGAAGAAATTTCCATCTACACAAGTGGAACAATTAAAGTGGCCATTGTGCTTTAGGGTATGCCAATGAAATGAGAGGATGAAATGGACGTGATGGAAGTTTGGTTTTGTGGTACTGACCTAACATTTACAACTGTAAACCTCATAAACCACACAGTCCAACCCGCCATCCCCTTATTTTTCTCTCTTTCATTTCTTAGAAATTAGATTTGACTCGAAATCAACATTCAATATTTGTTCATAGAGTTGGATACTTATACAGTTTTCTAGTTATATTCTTACTGAATAAGCACACTAGCTCAAACAGAAAAGGATTAGAAATTTCCAACATAAAGTTTAAAAGAATGAATAGATAGGCTGCACTGAACAACAATTTGTGAAATAGAGTATGATATCATCTCTTTCTTATTATATTTAATTTTTCATACTAAGTATAGTAACACTTGAAGTTGTCAATCAAGGGTAATGGCGCCCGCAACTCCATCTAGCGGGTCTGGCAAAAAGGTTAGAAAGCCTTATACTATCACCAAGTCTAGGGAGAGCTGGTCTGAGGAAGAGCATGACAAGTTTCTCGAAGCTCTTCAACTGTGAGTTCTTATTCTTAACCATAGTGCTGCTTCACTTCACAAATTATTTACTTATCTGTATTCTAGATTGAGTTAGGTTTTTTCTTTTCCACTTTTGGATAGAAAAGGTGCATAACTTGACAAATTTTTTGGTAGTTATGCTGGTTTAGTTCTTTACAGACCTGCCTAATACATATACGTATCCTGTTTGCTTTGAATGTGTGAGAGAAGTATCAAAGACATTCTGCTATTGAATCACTGACTTTTTATATTTTTTGCTGTTCAGATTTGACAGAGATTGGAAAAAAATTGAAGATTTTGTTGGTTCAAAAACAGTTATTCAGGTTAGGAAACAGTTCTTCAGCTATATTTCCTGATTTGCATCTTCTGTTATGCTATTATGTGTCTCACTGAATTTTCTTCAGATTAGAAGTCATGCCCAGAAGTACTTTCTGAAAGTTCAGAAGAACGGGACAGTAGCACATGTGCCTCCTCCTCGTCCTAAGCGTAAAGCTGCACATCCCTACCCACAAAAGGCATCCAAAAATGGTTTGCTTCTATTTCACATTTTTATGTTGTGTTCCTTAAATCATAACATGCGCATTCTTGACATGCTGTTTTCTGGGTTGGCAGTTTTTGTGCCATTGCCAGCTTCCCTGGAAATTGTTTCTTCCACTAGTAACCTTCCACCCCGATATGCAACATGGGATGAAAATTTCTTGCTCATGAATTCTGGATCCAACAGATTAGTGCCTTATCAGGATGAACTCACCAATCTTCATGGAGATGAAGGCATGCGTGTTTTTATACTTTCATATTTTTGGATCAATTGTTTTTTGAGATGAAAAGTAGCTGCCATGGATGTACTAAATGGAACTTTCCACCACTTATTTCTCTTATATGAAGTTACTGATTCAGCTGATATTGGACCGAAGGGGGTGACAAGAATTGGCAAAAGCAGTCTTAGTGATGTTGGGAACTCTACTAGAAAGTTGTCTGCCATTGAGATATCAAAACAAAGGAAACAGGCTCAGGTGCTTCATGGTAATGATCTTACATCCATTGACATTTGTTCAACATATGCTTGCTTAGTGAAATTAATATCTGGTGGTGATTGTCTCATTTTGGCCTAATTTAGCAGGTTTACCAGATTTTGCTGAAGTTTATAGCTTCATTGGAAGTATTTTTGATCCTGACACAAAAGGCCATGTCCAGAAGCTGAAGGAAATGGATCCTATAAATTTTGAAACTGTGAGTAGAATAAAACTTTCAATATCATCATTCAATTGTGTGACATGCAGTAACCAAGGCACTTATGGAGGCAAAACTTAGCTGTATAATCAAATAGGGATCGATCCACTTAGAGAGATATTGCCTTCGTGAGACAACCAAAATAACAGGATTCATGGCTAATTTCTCCTGCTTATAGATAATGAAAATTTTCCAGTGTAGTGGGATAAGACTTTTTTGTCATATATATATATATATATATATATATATATATATATATATATATATATATATATATATATATATATATATATAAAATAATCATTCCTCCTAAAAAACAATAGGTCATTTTTTAAAGAAGATAATGTTTATATGCATTTGTGGTACCTTAATAGCCTTTCGGCTTAATCATTTTACGGAAGGGTGTGGCCCCCTTTTGGTCAAGTTTCCATAAACCCATTAAAAAATAGAAATTCTGTTTTATTCACAATCCAGTAGAGCACTGTTCTTTTGCTGTGAACATTTCAAAGTCAAAAGTACAAAACACACTTCCACTTCGGAAACTGGCTTCAATTTCATAAAGGGAGAGGTTCCAATTTCTTTCATAAACAAATTGACCCTCTTGTTCCCCAACTCGTATCCCCTCTCTTCCCATTTGAGTGCACTAAAAAACCTAAATGAAGCGAAAAGGGGACTTACGAGGATGTAAAACTTACGTTTATTATCTGTTGACGAAGAATTGACTTGCACATTTGGTGTTCTGCAGGTTTTGTTGCTAATGAAAAACCTCACTTTCAACTTGTCTAGTCATGACTTTATGCCCGTTGTAAATTTCAAATAAATCTCAATCATGTATACCAATCTGCACTATTTGCGCTCCGCGAATGAATCATGTTTGTTGAATAGCCTTTGCTGTGGATTTACTGAATTCATCATGATGAAGTGCCAAATCCGCAGATGTTACTTTGCTTTCTTCGCCACACGCCAAATAAAAGTGCTGCCGCATATTAGTCATTACACAATTAAAAGTAATGTAACGATGTTAATACGGGATTACGGCAGGAATTGACGTCAAGAAATAGACAAACGATGTATAAACAGCTCGACAACCTTAATTGAACTAGTGCGTGTTTTTCCTCTCATGTTTTGTAGCTTTCCATTCTTATTTTCCATATCCGTTTGCATTGTAACATTTCCTGTTACAGTTATCAAATTTGGATAGAAGACTGAGGTTTTGCTCAACCCTCAGCAATGCATTCACTCGTTGTGATAGTAGCTTTCGTATGTGTTGAATTCTTGCTTTAGGGGTTTCAAATGCCAGTTTGCTTGCACATTCCAATCTCACGAAAGTAGAAGTAGTAGTAACATTGTTTGTTTGGTTGAGGGAATGAAAATGAATGATAAAAAAATAAATAAAAATAAGCGAAAAAGTGGAATTGTTTAATTTAATAGAAAAATAATGAAATATATTTAATTGATTTGATTAAATTGGCAAAGATTAATAATTTTTTATATAATATCAGTATTATTCTTTTTTTATATTTAAACATTTTATGAAGAAAAGGAAAAAATAAATGAATTTTGGAATTACATAATTAAAAATTACTATTTTTATTTTAAATTTAATAAAAATAAAAATTGAAGTTAAGTTCATTAAATATGAAAAAAAAAATTTGATATAAGAAAATCACAATTTTTGAATAATCAAATCTAGAATAGTTCGAGCAACACATAGAAAGCAAAGTAATAAATTAAGCATAGTCTATAAGGAATTTTGAAACTAGTCAAACCTTTGTTTAAAATAGACAAAACTATGGTCATTCAATTCGAATCAATTAGATACAATATTTTAATGATTATTTTAATACAACTATAACGGGATTATATCATTCATAAGTTTAAATGACTAAAACTATCAACCAATAACTATAATAAAAATAATAAATTGATTATTAAACAATTATGTCAAAGATTATTTTTAATTACAAATAGCATGATTGTTTTTTTACAAAATACTAGTAGTTAAATTTTTAACTTTTTTTTCTATTTAACTAATAAAGGGCAAAAATAAATTTCTTCCCAAATTTCATACAATCAATTTTAACTTATTCTTGTATTTAATCTAAATATTGTTAAATTTACTTTGATGAATAATAATCATATTGAAACCCAAATATATGTAACTATTCTTAGTATGTATTTTAGGATATAATAAATTTTAGCCAATCTCTCATAATGCAAGCTACTCTTATCAATTATGGTCTCATTTATAATTTTTCAGGTACTAATAAAAATAATTTTGATAACTTTAAATAATATTATAAAGTGTAAAACTAATTATGATCAAATTCATGGTATTTGATGAAAACTTATACCTAATTTTGTTTTATGTGTTTCGTTTTTGTGCTAAAAAAATGCAATCACCTCTTCTTACCAGCACTTTTTCTTTACATTACACTTACGCTCAACCTTCGTCTAGTATCACCGTAGCAAACATAACCGAAGAGATATATAAGGCAATAGTGTCGCTGTGTACAATAATTTATTTTATTATTTACTTTTAAATAGCATATAACTATGGATTATTACAAGGGGGGTTTGTGAAGAAGAATAAGCCCAATTAGCCCCAACATATTAGTGGACGGGCCGAAGCAAAAAAAAAAAGCAATGATATATTTGTATATTCACCGCATTAGTTACCTGCTATTTCTTCTTCCAGTGCCCTAAACCCTAGTTTTGAGAGTACGAACCTTCACCAATGGCAGTAGCAGCAGCTAGGCCTCTCGTCTCTGTTCAAACCCTAGAGAGCGATGCAACCCCCACCGTTCCTCTTCCTGATGTCATGAAGGCTCCCATTCGCCCTGACATTGTCAATTTCGTCCACTCCAACATTTCTCGTAACAGCCGCCAGCCCTACGCCGTCAGCAAGCGTGCCGGCCACCAGACATCCGCCGAGTCCTGGGGAACCGGCCGCGCCGTCTCGCGTATCCCTCGTGTCCCAGGCGGGGGCACGCACCGCGCCGGCCAGGCCGCCTTCGGCAACATGTGCCGCGGCGGTCGCATGTTCGCGCCGACCAAGATCTGGCGCCGCTGGCACCGCAAGATCAACGTCCAACAGAAGCGCCACGCGGTCGTCTCGGCCATCGCTGCCTCCGCGATCCCCTCCCTGGTCCAGGCCCGCGGCCACCGCATAGAGTCTGTCCCGGAGCTCCCCCTCGTCGTCAGCGACACTATCGAGAGCGTGGAGAAGTCAAAAGAAGCGGTGAAAATCCTTGAGAAAATCGGCGCGTTCCCCGACGCGGAGAAAGCGAAACTGAGTCACGGAATTCGTCCCGGTAAGGGGAAAATGAGGAACCGCAGGTACATTTCACGCAAGGGTCCTCTTATCGTGTACGGATCCGAAGGTGCTAAAGCTGTTAAAGCGTTCAGGAACATTCCCGGTGTTGAGGTGGCAAATGTTGAAAGGCTTAATCTTCTGAAGCTTGCACCCGGTGGCCACCTTGGGAGGTTTATTATTTGGACCAAGTCCGCGTTTGAGAAACTGGACTCCATTTATGGGTCGTTCGATAAGGCCTCCGAGAAGAAAAAGGGTTATCTGCTTCCCAGGCCCAAGATGGTTAACTCCGACTTGGCCCGCATCATTAACTCCGATGAAGTCCAGTCCGTGGTGAGGCCCGTTAATAAGGAGGTTAAGCGCGCTACTCTGAAGAAGAACCCTCTCAAGAACCTCAATGTCATGTTGAAGCTCAATCCCTATGCTAAGACCGCTAAGAGGATGGCTCTTCTCGCTGAGAAGCAGCGGATTGTGGCAAAGAAGGAAAAGCTTGATCAGAAGCGCAACATTGCTTCCAAGGTTAGTGAATTTATTATCATTTACCAAATTGTCACGATTCTGGTGAATCTTAATTTTCATTAAATAAATATGTGTAGTAGTATGCATGCGTTTAACTGTTTTCTGAGGCATAGCCTAAGATTATTTAGGAACAGAATTTGCTTGTTTTTAGGACTCTCTCGCTGTTATGTGCAGTTTATTTACTGGAGGCTTTTAATGACATTTGTTTTCGCATTTCCTGTTAGGAGGAGGCTTCTGCTATAAGAGCTGCTGGAAAAGCTTGGTATCAAACAATGGTGTCAGACTCTGATTATACAGAATTTGACAACTTCTCTAAGTGGCTGGGTGTTTCCCAGTGAAATCTTCTGAGTTTTGATTAGTTTTTGTGTTGTTACTTTCTTTAGATTACATTTACAGTTTTGATACGGTAGTTATATTTTGGGAGGAAAAAGTTTCTGATTACTAGGATGACTTTTGGTTATTTTTATTGCCACTTCGATGCTATTGAAAACAAGTATGGTTTGCATAATTTCAAATTTTGATTATTAAAATTGATTGCTCATTTTCAATGTTCTTTGCTCTGCAATGAAAAGTAATTAATATAACATCTGGATTGAATTGTTTACTCCTATATATACCAGCACCGATTCTTCAATTTGATTACGGATCCGATAAGTATTGGGTCGGTTATTTTACCATACTTTCACCGTACTTTTGATAATGAAGTATCAGAGAAGCATCAATATTTTTATTTGTTTTATAAATAATACTTTTAAAATAGTTTAATGTCATTTATATTAATAAAAGTTTAAGAAACATATATTTATCTATAAAATAGAAACATATAAATTTTAGTTTTCATAAATCAAAGATAAAGTTAAAGAAAACATAAATTTATTTATAAAATAGAAACATAAATTTTAATTTTTAATTTTAATAAATCAAAGAAAAAAATTATTCTTATGAAATATTTGAAAAAAAAAATTTATAATAATATTTTTTTATATTTTTTTATTTTTACAATATCTAAGAAATGTGATTTAAAATTTCAATTTACATGATTATAGTTTTATAGGTATTATATAAAATTAATTTTGTTTATATGTTTTAGGTCTTCCAAAAATAAATTGATTTACAGTGAGAAATCAAACGTGACTAACGTGGAGTTGAGCATGGACTTTGTTAGCGAGAAATCAAACGTAGACTAACGTGGAGTTGAGCATTATGGTTTTATTTTGTACTATTTATTGAAACTGCTGAAATTGAGGACTTTCTTAGTTGGTGTTGAAAAAATTGAAGTTATATGTGCGTACTGTAACACGTAAAATGCAATGAACAGTAAAATAATAATTGAAACAGAGACAACCAATGGAGCAGCGAGATGGAATTGTATTGAGTTTGGTTTACAAGGAATTAGAAATAGAAATCATAACAAGCTAAAAAGTAGAATTCCAGACGTCCCATGCAGCCCATGCAGGTACCTGAGATACGTAACAGAATTGGTTTAAGAAACAGAGAGAGAGATATAGAGAGAGAGAGTGTGGGTATAGAAGAAGCAGAATCGGTTAACAGAAAAGATTTCGTACCATTCACATGCCTCTCTCATTGAATGAATTCCTTTAAATACACACTTTCCTTTCGTTCACGTGTGCTTCTCCGTAATGCCTTATCATGCGGATCTATTTCCACTTGGCCCCTTCCTTCCACTGTATTTTCTGTTATTTTATTTTTTGTAGCAATACCCTTCCCTTTAACATCAACCTTGCCCTCAAGGTTGAATTGAGGATAAGTGTGATGAAATTCTTCAAGATCTTCCCAAGTAGCTTCGGTGGCTTCAGTCGATTGCCACTGTATTAATACCTGTTGTATATCAGCATCATTACGTCTTATAACTCTTTGCTGCAGCACTTTTGTAGGACTTAAGATTGGTCCAAATTCACTTGTGGTCAAAGGTAAGGGTATGTATTGTTGGGAGTGGGTCCCTTCAAACTTTTTAAGCAAGGAAATGT